AGTGTGTTTCAGGAGAGGGAGAAGCCGAGGCTCCAGCTGTGCCGGATCAGCAATCAGCGGGTCTGGCATTGAAGGAGGATGGAGAACACAGCTCGACGCCGGATGATTGCTGCTGTTTGGTAGATTCCAGCTACTCGACTAGTCTCTAGGATTCCATTGTGACTGTGTGTATTGTTTACCTGCCTCAGGTCTGCATCCTGGATATCACTCCACTACTCCAGAACCCCCTGGATCTCTCTGCCACGTCTTTCATCCTACCTCACCGACCCGCTCTCTTGCCATTCTCGCTCTCACCCTCTGGACTCATCCCGGCTCATTACCTCCCCCACTTCCTGAATCTCCCGTCCACCGTGAGTCTCTGCTCTCGTCATCTACTGACTCACCTCCCAGGACTCACCTGACTCTGCTCTTCCCCCTAGACGCTGCGATCCCAGCTCCTGTCCACTGGAATTCCCAGTGCGCCTTTAGTTCCCATTTGTTTGAATGAATAACTTTATTTTTTTTATCACCTCTCTGTGTTGTGGTTGATTCTGCATGTCTTGGGTTGGACTCATACGACACGGTGGCATCCACTAATTCTTCCTTTCACAGCTATATTTGCTCATCTCTTTTATCTTTTTCCTGCACCAAGTACCAAAGCCGTTTCCTGATGTGATTCCTCACACATACGGCAACAAAACCCTTCTGATTCTGAGGTTTGGGAACTAAACTCTGAACCAGAAAAAATATCTGGCAGTTACAGTTTCATCGTTAATGTTTTAGACTGATCTGTGAAACAGTCTTGATGAATGTTTTTACAGTAAAGAGGACACGTTGCATCTCTTTTAAACGAGTTTGTGATGTTTGTGACTAAATCCCTGTCACATGAGCAGTTTTACCAGCGCTGCAGTCTGGAACTGTTTCTGCCATTTTGCTTCAAATGCTCTTCACAGCTAGCCTGGCAGCCATCCTAAACATGTGACTATATAGTCTGCATGGCCACGACTCTGCTCTTGATTCAAAGTTGCAATCTTTCTTTTCTCCTCAGTCGCATCTTCCCGCTCATCCAGCAGAGTGCTGTTACTGGCCCACCAAACCAATAGTTTGGGGAGAGAGGTCCAGAGTCTGGGGGCCACAGCAGCAGATGATCTGTCACCTTTGACCTTTAGCCTGGTGCTGCACAACCAGTAGGCTTTGATCACTGGACCTCAGGGACCTGCTGGGGGTGTAGGGACTAAGAAGATCACCAATGTAAGGTGGTGCTTGTCCATGTAAGGCCCTATAGACCAGAACCAGGATCTTGAAATGAACCCTGAAGTTGACTGGCAGCCAGTGAAGCTGGAGGAGAAGCGGGGTGATGTGGGTGTGTTTGGAGGACTTGGTCAGAAGCCGAGCACAGGCGTTCTGAACCACCTGTAGACGGTTCAGGGAGGTTCTGCTCAGACACGTGAAAAGAGAGTTACAGTAGTCTAAGCGTGAGGAGATGAAGGTGTGGAGAACTGTCTCAAGTTCAGAGCGGGACAGAATGGGACTCAGCTTAGCAACGTTCCTGAGATGGAAGAAGGAAGAGCCAACAAGAGAACTGACATGAGAATCCAGGGTGAGAGCTGGGTCAAAGGTCACGCCAAGATTCCTGACAGAAGGTTTGGTGTGAGAAGCAAGCTGACCAAGAGAGTCTCTGACTCTGGGAACCAGCTTGTCTGGGGCACAGATGAGGATCTCTGGTGAGACCAGTTAAGGAGGATTTATATTTAAACTTTAACTGGGAGACCGGCACTAAAAGACCCTACTGGTGTTATTTGGGACTTGGCTCCCAGCCGTGATCAAACAGGCACGTGTTGTGTGCAGTACCGAGCTCCTCCACCGGAGGGCAGATGGCCATCAGGGTTTCATCAGCTGTCAGCTTCACCATCATGATGAATGACCGCACTTGTACAGCGCCTTTCTGGGTCAGAGGACTTTACACGGATGCTAAGAAAGGTGAAACCTGGATCTGCACTTCCCTTTCAGGTTTGATAAACGAACTTTTGCAGCAGATTCTAGATTTTCCATCACCTGCGTGAAGGAGAGGATGGTCCTAAGTCCTACCGCTGTTCAGACTCTGCGTTTCTGGTAACACTTGAGACACATTTCACTGAAAAGGTGTTTTAGTTTTGGACACAGTCATTTTATTTGTTCCAGGCTGATTTAAGGGGACGGGGCTCGCGAGAAGGAAGCCGTGCTCGTGTTCCAGAACAACTAAAACCACGAATGAAGCTGCGTGCTTCTGGTGATGAGCACCACCACGGGAACGGTGGTGGCACTAATCTACGCTGTGGCGCAGGTATGCTGACCCCGTACCTGCAGCTGCTGAGCTGAGTCACTGCCTATGGAGTGTACCCAACCCTCTCAGCCCTGAGAGTAGACAAACCGCTCCAAGCCAATCAGATTGACCATTAGAGACAGGGTAGTGCTGTGACAGGTAACTGAATCCCCGTCCAGGTGTTCTGTATGACTACACGTATCTGAGCGCAGCCCTCCTACCTGCTCACTCAGAAATAGACCCGTCTTCCTCATCATCTGTGACTGACGTGGACCCGATCCCTGAGCTCCATCCTGGCAGCAGATCGCTCCTGTCTCCGTCACGCCCACCCCCACCGCGGGAACCGTAAACCTTTAACGACGTGGAAAGCTCCCACCAAACAAAAGCAGTGGCATCTGTCTCTGGAACGTGCTGCCCTCCAAAGCGTCGCTTCTACTTTCACCTCCTCAAAAGCAGAAGTGGGGGAGAAACTTGGGGGGGTTGAAACAAAAATCCTTTTCTGCCAAAGACGTTTTCACGTGCCCGCAGCCCCGAGTGCTGAAATAAGCATCACAGATGTCAGACTAGAGCCCACCTGCTCAGGTACGTCCAGGTCAGCGCTGCGTCATAGTTCTCACCTCACCACAGGGCTCTGATGTCAGACACCAGAGGGGTCAGATCACAGTTATGAGGTGGATGAACCTTTACACCTTAAAGGGCTTTAATCTGCTACACCTGCACTCTTCACACCTGCCCGGATTATCCAGGCTAATAGCAGATTGCATAAAACAGTTTGTGAAACTTCCAGGAAGCCAGATTTCAGCCGGTTTTCTGCATCTGGACCGCCCTCAAACAGCTGTAGATACAAAACTGCAACACAGTTCAGATGTGCTGTGGCGCGTGACGCGATCCTAACCAACAAGTCTTTTAAACACACTGGAAGGAACTGAGAACCGAGCGGAAAAAATGGAGTGAACGTTTGAAAAGTCATCGTATTCCCACAACAAAGGCAAGGAATACCTACAACAGGATGACTTTCTACGTTAGAAACCATAAAACGTAGAAGGGAGGAGAATGAGAAGGTCCTGGCGTTGGTGGCATCTGCCCTCAATGAAGGCATCACAGCTCTGCAGAATGCTGGGTCAGATGTTTGGCGTCTTCTGTGAAGACAACTGACCAAAACTGAAGGTTTAATTACGCAAGAACAGGTAATAAATAACAACGGCATGGCTCTACTGTGGTCAACACGCATGTAAAGGGATTAAATAACCTTTAGCGTAAGGCTTTCTCCGAGTTGGTTTTGCTAGTAGTGCAGAATGATCTAGTCCAGGTCAGAAGAGTGTGGGTGTTGTAGTTATTGCACAGGACCGGCTCCAGTGTGGGCCAGACGCTAAACAAGCATAAATATGGCGTCCTTGAAGTTTCACAACTTGGCAATCAGCTGTTTTGGAGCTGCTGACCTGCAGGAGCACGAAGTCCTCACCAGTCAGGGAGAAGTCCAGTGCTGCAAAGATCAGGGTTCGGGCAGAACGCTGATCTTTTCAACGTTTACAACATTTGTTTGCAGGAGGACATTTTTTATTGAATGACATCACAGACTTTCTGAATTAGCTGATGTTGATGTCCGACCCCGCGGTGCTGACAACAGCAGGAGAAAGGTTCTGGCAGCTCTTAATCAGCGCTCGGAGGATGTCGTGAAGCTTCACTGTGGACATCATGAGGTCCCACATGATCGAGCACCATGCTCTTGAGAGAGGTACATGGAGGTTTAACACATCACTGTAATAAAATCATTGAGAATAATGTAATTGAGGAAATTTTCTAAACATGGATTAAATTTTTTCAAAGCAGACAAAAAATACACCAATAACGAGGATTTTAATTCAAGCGTCTGGTTTGACTTTAATAAAAAAGAAGATTGGACAGAGGTAAACAAACAAATAAACCAGGGTTAACCATCAGTGCTTGTGCCTAATCCTAACAGGTGTGTAAACTAAAGAGAAAGGAACGAAGATTCATTTTTCACCATGACGTCATGACGCTCTAGACCGCCAGGTGGCGATAACGCTCCTTCAGGTTTGATTTGCTGAACAATTCAAAGCAGAGAAGGACAGTGAGGACCATGGGGACATGTCTTTATGGGAGACAGGTTAGGACGCAGTGGCGGTTTTACCATTAGGCATAGGTCGGCGGTAGCCTGGGGCCCCCTAGCAATGACTGCCGGCACCCCTCTGTTAATGTCACAATGGACCATTCCTTTAAGACTCGATGCACAGACAGGAAGTGTTTGGCAGTCATTTAGGAAGAAGAAAGCAGAGCAAATACTGAAAGCGCTTAAAGGGAGAGAAAGACAGGAAAGAGGAGGAGGACAAATAAAAAGGGAAAACAACTCATGGCAGAAGAGGGGAGAGATACACACATCCGGTTAAAGGGAAGACTGTCGGAAATATAGTTTAAGGGGGCCCCATGTCCGTGTTTGCCTTGGGCCCCCGAGTTTCTAAATCCGCCACTGTTAGGACAAGTTAGTAGACAGCAGTAGTTAGGGTTAGGGTTAGTTAGTAGTTAGTAGAACCGGTTTAGTCACACCGCTAACGAGTTGCTTCAAAAGGATTCAGGATGAGAGTTTTCCCGTTTTGTTTCAGTTTCTAAGAACTGTTTCAGAGAATTGGTTTTTATTTGTAGGAGCACTTACGGCCAGTAGGTGGCGGTAAAGCATCGTGACGGCTTCAATCACGTCAACGAAGAAGACAAACATCCGGGTTTTCTGTGCAAACATGGCGGCGTCCGCGCTGAGCCAGCGAGCGGGTGTGTTTCTAAGAACTTTTAAGGCGTTGACGTCATCTAAAGCCGCGGTTCCGGTGACCTGTCGGTGTGGCGCCTTGCTGCAGAGCGCCGGGTACAACCCGAAGCCGCTCCGGCTGAACCTCCGGGACCCGTACATCCCCGATAAGGACGACGAGAAGACCCCCGAGTGGCAGAAGACGGCTCGCTTCGACCGGAAGCTGTTCGGTCGCTACGGCTCCGCTTCGGGCGTCGACCCGGCGTCTCTGTGGCCGTCTCACCGGGAGTTAGAGGACATGGTCGCCGAGGAGAGCCAGTGGCATCCTCCGTTAGAGGTCATGCTGAAGAACATCGAGGCTAAAGCCGCGGAGGAAACGGCCAAGCGGCTAGCAAAGTAAGTCCGTCCGAGCCGAACCGAACCCGACCCGACCCGTAGCGTTAGCAGCGACGGTGTTAGAAAGCCTTGTTTACTAATAAAGGAGTAAATAATAATAATAATGTCCGTTTTGTGGCTTTCAGCACCGGAAACGCGTCCAGATTAAAGACAGCCTCGGAGTTGGAGTCAAACACAATAAAAATGGGTTTTGGACTAAAATAAACGTAATTTTCTTCTGATGCAATAATTCTAGCATCTGTGATGGAAACACCCACTAATGGGCCATTCCCATCGGTACCGGGCCGGCCCGGTACCGATGGGAATGGCCCATAAGAACCCACACCGGATCAGGTGCATCTGTGACTGTTTTACTGACAGGAACGAGTGGAAAGCACCACAGTGGTGTCGTCTCCGAGGAATGAGATAAATGAGTCCGTCTGATCATTAACTATTAGTTTGCTGTGTATGAAGACCAGACCGTACACGTGACGTGTTTATAGCATCTATACAGCATACTTATGATTAACCCCTTTAGGAAACCCTGACTTCATGATGTGGTTCTAATCAGCACAGTACTCTCACTGCAGTAATACTTGTAGACACGACAGGAAATGACATCGTAGCACGTAAGCATGTTCCTCTGAAACCTAAAGCTCGAGTCTTCCCTGCAGCTGGAGCGGGCTGGTGTCCGGGTTCACGCTGCAGCCGTTCGCCACATCAGACATCAGACAGGTGGAGGAAGACTTGCGTTCACGGTAATTCCTGTTCTGCTGATGCAGGAAGCAGACGCGTCTCCGTCTCACGCTCGTGAACGGAGCTGGATGATGGACAAAGATGAGCTTCAGACGAGCACCGTCATTAACGTCGGCCGTAGCAGCGCCACAAAACCAACGGCTCCATCAACCCACGCCCTGCACGCTGGTACCACCAGAACACCTTTAAAACCAGCGGAACCAGCAACACTCTTCTAATGCTCGGACCTTCTCTCCTTAGACACACACGTTGTTTAGCGGTACCAGCAGCTCGTTTAAACAGCAGTCAGCTCCCTGATTGGTTCTTTTCTCATCTAGTCCCGCCTGAAATCCAGACGCATCAGACCAGGAAGGGTTTTCTAGTCCCTCCTGGATCTGCAGCAGGTCTAGCTTGCAGCAAGTAGCTTCTGACAAACCGTGTGGTTTATTAAAACAGCAAACAAACAGTTTTCGTGGAATTGTTCCAGATCCCAGGAGCTACACTGAAGCTCCATCAGGACCGGTGTTGGTCGAAATCATACACGTGTCATTTATCTCCCTTCCAGAGAGAAGCTCATAGCAGCAAACATGGCCAAGATGCCAAAGATGATCGAGGACTGGCGCCAAGCGAAGAAGGAGAGTAGAAAGAAGCTGAAGGAGGAGAAGGCTCGAAAGGCCAAGTTGCTGGCCGAGGCCAAAGAGCGCTTCGGTTCCGCCATCGACCCGCGCAGCCCCAAGTTCCTGGAAATGGTTGCGGAAATAGAAAAGGAAGAGAAGAAGAAGAGGAAGCTTCTGAAACGTAGACTGAGAGAGGAGCAGGCAGCAGCTCCAGCAGCCGCTGATGGAGCTGCTGCTCCAGCGTAGTCCAGGACTCACCAGCTGTCTGGACCCAACACCCCGGGTTCTGGTGGTTCTGGAAACTCCGGTTAAAAACGTTCATTCGGCACCAGGTCATGTGTTCACCTGTAAGTTCACCAATTAAAGTGCAAACTGCATTAATGTGTGTGTGTCTGAGTCCACCTGGGAGGTGGGGTAAGACCAGGAAGTGAAGTCGGCGCTCATGTGATGATGATGATGATTATTACTATTATTATGATTATGATTATTATTGTTATTATTATTACTATTATTATTATTATTACTGCATTTTCTAAGTCATGCTGTGAAGTAAAGGTTCTCCTTTAGCCTGGACGTCTTCATTAAACCACCCTGCAGATGTTAAAGCCAGAATCAGCTCTTTTCCTCCTGTGGAGTCATCAGTCGAGTCCAGCGTGTGTAACCTGAACAAACCCTAACCCTGACCCGGAGACCGGGGCGGGATTCCAGAAAGCGGGTTTAGAACATCGGGATCTCCTGATAAACCTCGGATTGACCTGGCGCTCCCCTCCAGGTTTCCCCGCTCCACGAACGATTCTCAGGTGGGCTCAATCCCGTCTGATCCAAGCGAGGCTCACGCGCGTCCATTGGCAGCCCCAGCTAATCGATGCCAGATAAATGAGAAGGGCAGTAAAGGACAGCCTTGTTCTTCATCCAGGCGGAGCGACAATCATTCATCCGTGCCTACGAGGACTACAGAGATATCAGAGCTAAAGCAGAGACTGTGAGCTGTTTGAAGAGAGCCGTGTAGCTGGAGCTGTTCAGTCAGGACGCTCAGACTTTACACGTTTCCATGGCAACGCCAGGAGGCCGCTTCATCTCCGGTTTCTCCACCTGTTTAAATAAAGTCATCATTGATGTGGTTTTCATGTTCTGCTCCAGTCTGGAGGTCTAGAGACGGGAGGACTTTGTTTCTGCTGCAGCTGTGAAACGTTTGTGGTCACATGACCCTAAGCCTAAAAGTCCTTCTCACATCTCTCTAACATGACTGCCCTCTGGTGGAGGATGGGAGTGCTGCAGGCAGCTCATTATTTATTTGGCTTTGAAACCCGAAACAACCCAGCAGGCACGAGTTTGGTCTCTGGGAGGAAACTGGAGTACCCAGAGGAACTCCACACACGCATGGCCACAGCTGGGATTGGAACCTGCAACCACCTTGTTGCAAGGCCCATGCAGCTTACACCACTGAGGCTAACAAGGTGTTTAATCACAAATAATATTAATGTTAGGTGGTTATTTGATTATTATTTTAATAAATCAGCCAAACGAAGAATTACAACTCTACTCTTAACAGGATTCAACAACGGTCATTCAAAATGTTGAGATTAAAACAGCTGAGAGGAGATCCGAGTCACCTCTGGAGGACGCCAGCTTGTTGCTGCTGACTAGAACAAAAACAGGTTTAAACAAGTTTATCCTGGCTGAATCCACATGTGTCACCATGCAGCTGGCTGTGGTTAGAACTGGTTTCAGTCGGTTCCATGAAGACAATAAAACATGATGTATGAAATAACTCGTGACATGTGCAAGGAGCAGACGTGGACCAGGTTCTAGTCCACAAAAGCATTCTAGCCAAAACAATACAACTTCTGCATGTTTTGCAAATACAGTTTCCAAACTACTAAAACTGCTTCATACTGAGAGTCCGGTGGGAGGAGCCAGAGTGGCTCCATCACAGATGGGCCTCCTCGTCTCCAGGGTCAGCCTTGAGTTTGGCCAGAGCGGCGTGGACCCTGAACTGTGTCCGAGACTCCATGGAGTAGTCTTTGTAGCTGTGCCTGTGATCAGAAGAGTGGTCAGGGTTAGGCTGAAGCAGCGTGGCGTCAGGCTCATCACCACCAGGTGGGTGAAGGACAGGGGTGTTGGGGGTCCAGAAAACAGCTTAAAAAATACAGCCATTCACCATTTAATGAACTTTACATTAAAGATGGGTCCTTGTACTTCACCCATCCATTCATTCTCTTCTGCTTATCCGGAGTCGGGTCGCGGGGGCAGCAGCCCAAGCAGGGAGGCCCAAACTTCCCTCTCCCCAGCCACTTGGGCCAGCTCCTCCGGGGGAATCCCAAGGCGTTCCCTGGCCAGGTGAGAGACATAGTCCCTCCAGCGTGTCCTGGGTCTACCTTTAGGTCTCCTCCCAGTTGGACGTGCCCAGAAAACCTCACCAGGGAGGCGTCCAGGAGGCATCCTGACCAGATGCCCGAGCCACCTCAACTGGCTCCTCTCGATGTGGAGGAGCAGCGGGTCTACTCTGAGCCCCTCCCGAATGACCGAGATCCTCACCCTATCTCTAAGGGAGACCCCAGCCACCCTGCAGAGAAAACTCATTTCGGCCGCTTGTATCCGCGATCTCGTTCTTCCGGTCACTACCCAAAGCTCGTGACCATAGGTGAGGGAAGGAACGTAGATCCACCGGTGAATACCGAGAGCTTCTCCTTGTGGCTCAGCTCTCTCTTCATGACAACAGACCAGACCAGCGTTCACGTCACTGCAGGTGCTGCCCCAATCCGTCTGTCTCCATCTCACTTGTTCCCTCACTTATGAGCAAGACTTCAAGATGCTTAAAGAGCAAGTCACCCCCAAATCACCTTTTGTTTGCCTGGTGAACCATGTGTGTCTGACCGTGCTGTAGACACGTGTAGCCAACAATCCGACACTTTAGGGAATCTTAGGTCAAATCCAAATATCCTGCCTAAAACTGTCAGTGTTGTGCCGTCTGCATTTGAATTTAAAGCTGCCATCGCTATTGGCTAACAGGTACCCTATGACGTTTGCTGGTACCATATGATGTCACATCACTGTTTGAGTGTGTGTGTGTGTGCATGTGTGTGTGTATTCATTAGTGGCTCCACCCTCTTGGTCTCCCAGGCAACGTCATTTGTTGCATTTCTCAAACAGGAAGTGGGAGTGGCCTAAAGCCAGGATCACACCAGCTACGAAGCGCCGTGAAATGGATCGTTCACAAAAATCACGCGCTGCACGTTGCTCCGGTTCCCATCAGGCAAGAATTTCCAACGAGTGCTTCTACTCACGCCTACTGTCCCCACCCCCACCGCCGTGCCCTTGCTGTGTGTGTGTGTGTGTGTGTGTGTGTGTGTGTGTGTGTGTTCATTTTCATCTCTAGTCTGTTTCGGCACACAGAACTGATGACATTCATCAGTCGCTGTTTTATTTAGAAACGTTTATTTTGCTAAATTCAAGGTCTGCCTCTTCTGCTTTGGTTCCACTTCCTGCCAGAGTTGATGCGGCTCACTCGTCAGAAAGTCTGAGCTCAGGCCGAAACGATGGCTGCATGGCGCAAGCCTTCGTGGCTGATGTGATCCAGGGGTTAGACTTTGGTAGGGGGTGACTTGCTCTTTAAACTCCTCCAATTGGGGCAGGACCTTTCTCCTGACCCAGAGTTGGCAAGCCGCCCAATTCCAGTGGAGAACCATGGCTTCGGATTTGGAGGTACTGATTCTCATCCCAGCTGGAGGTCAGAGATGGATGAATCTAGGAGGACCACATCATCCACAAACAGCACAAACAACGTTCTCAGCCCCCTCAACACCACAGCTTCGTCTAGGAATTCTGTCCAGGAAGGTAAACTGAAGCCTGGTCCGCCACTCCACAGAAGGTCATGAACCTTGTGAACAGAACCAGGGACAAAGGGCAGCCTTGGCGGAGTCCAACTCTCACCGGGAACTAGTCCGACTTACTGCCAGCAATGCAGACCAGTCTCCGACACTGCTCTTACAGCCCGGTGTACTCAACAGCCGGTATCAACGGGCCTGGTACCCAGGGGGCCCCTGGGCACAATGTAACCCCGTCCCCATATTTAAATAGGGGGAGCACCACCCCGGTCTGCCAGTCCAGTGGAGCTGCCCCTGATGTTGATGCATATTGCTGAGCCACATCAACCAACACAGCCCTACGAGATCCAGAGCCTTCAGGAACTCTGGGAAGATCTCATCTTCTCCCGGGACCTTGCCAACAGGAGTTTGCTGATCACCTCAGCGACCTCGGCTCCAGAGATTGGAGAGCCTGACCCAAAGGCCTCAAACGCTGCCTCCTCACAGGAAGACGTGCCGGTGAGAGAGGAGGTCTTTGACGTACTCTGCCCATCGATCCACAACGTCTCGAGTCGAGGTCAGCAGCTCACCTTCTCCACTGTGAACAGTGTTGGTAGTGCACTGCTGTCCGGGACCAGAATCTGAACCAGGATACCAGACCCTCACAATACGTTTGGGCCTGCTAGGTCTGACTGGCCCCCAAGTCCAGTAACAAAACCTGGCTCAAAGTCAGATCAGGGGGGCATTCCTCCCAACCACACCTCTCCAGGTCTCACCGTCGTCGCCCACAGGAGCGTTAAAGTCCCCCAGCAGAACGAGGGAGGCACCAGAAGGAGCGCTCTCCAGCACCTCCTCCAAGGCCTCCACAATGGGTGGGTAGTCTGACCTGTAGTTTGGTGCATAAGCACAGACCACAGTCAGAACCCGTCCCCCCACACGTAGGCGGAGGGAGGCTACCCTCTCATTCACCGGGGTGAACCCCAACGTACAGGCACCAAGATGGGGGCAACTAGTATGCCCACCCCTGCTCTGCGCCGCTCAGTGGGAGCAACTCCAGAGTGGTAGAAAGTCCAACCCCTCTCAAGGAAACTGGTTCCAGAGCCAGAGGCATGCGTTGAGGTGAGTCCGACTATATCTACTCAGAACCTCTACCTCACACACCAACTTAGGCTCCTCCCCCACCAGAGAGGTGGCAGCTTCTGTAGCCGAGGATCAGACCACCAAGGTCCCCGCCCTCACACACTGCACCCGACCCCTCCAGTGTAGTCACATGGATAACTTTGGGCAGTGGTGGTGTGTAACCATGACAACCAGACCAGTGCTGTTACAACAGGTGCAAACACACAGGTCAGCAGACCGAGTGACAGAAGCCATGCAAAGGGGCAGGCAGGTTTCCTTCTCCCTGCTCCGTTTTCCCAGATGTACAATAAACAACGCACGACTGCGACTTGATGATGTCATCGTTAACGTAAATAACCAACTGACTGATTCAGGAAACACAGAAGGGAAGCCGTGGGTCGTCTGTGACATCAGCACAAGTTGACCTATGACAGCAGAGACTTACTTGGCCTTTCTGAGATGTTTAACAGCGTCGTCTTTCCTGCCTTGGTCCATGTAGAGCAGGCCGAGCTCCACCAGACAGTTGGGCACCAGGTAGTGGTCAAACCGGATCTTCTTCTCACTGAGCACACAGAAGTAAGACAACATGCACCCGTTTTAGGAGCCGAGCCGTTTCACTGCGTCTGACCTTGTCCGTTAAACTGTCATGACTCCCGTTTTGTTTTTATGACTGCACTTCTCCCTCAGGTGGTCATGTACACACATGCGGAGATGTTTCTGCCTTGCTTTCATCTGTGGTCTTCCTCTCTGGTGTCCCAGCTGCCGTATCATCATGACCGGTCCAGACGTGCACCGGCCCAACGATGTAATCCTCACTAAAAACCAGGATTTTATACCTTTGTCTGAAGTCTGGCAGCAAACGTCTGGTTACTCTGGTCGGAGTCAGAAACGCTCTGGTTCGGTGGTTTGATTCCACTCAACACCCAGCTTCAGAATGAAACCGAGGAGAATGATTGGTCCATTCTCAGCGAGAGCTTTTATTTAAAGCAGAAGGGTGGACCGAGGACTCGACGACGATCTGGCCCAGAGGCGCAGCCACACACGTCACACTGAGCTCACCTTGAACACACTCTGTTGAAACACTCCTCAGCAGCCTGGAGAACACCTTGGTTCTTGAAGCACAGTCCCTTCAGCATGTGGATCAGGCAGCGGTCGTCCACGGTGTAGTGGTTTTCTGTGGAACGTGAAGCAGACGCCATCAGCAGCAGCAGACCCAGGCCTGGCTCGGCTGCTGGACAAGCTGCGTTACCTGGAGCTTCCAGCAGGGCGCGCTCTGCCTCCACTAGAGTCTGCATCATGCCCTCCGTGAGCTCCGGCCTTTTGCTGATCATACTGAAGCCGTTCCACATGTACATCATCTCCTGTAAGGCAGGCGAGACTGTTGGAGGGAGCGGGGAGATGAAACCACTTCCTGCAGGTGTGTTTCAGCGTTACCAGGACCGGTACCGGCAGCCTGACCGGGTGGGAGGCCTTGTAGCGCCTGGCTTTACGGATTGCAAACTTCTCCGTTGGAGGAGACTTCCCCGCGATCTTCTGCTTCAGGGCCGGTACCCGTCTGAAGAGATTAGAGAGGAATGAAAGCCCGGTCTAACCGGGAGCATGTACTGTAAAAACAGACTTTTGTCTGCTGAGCCACAAAATCTCACATCTGATTTTCTCTGCCTTTCCTTTTTAAAACACAAATCACAGAATGGCTGCTTCCTTCGGTTAGCTGGCCCGAGTCCACAGCCCAACACAAACACATCATACGTAAAGGGGTTTGCTGCTCTCATAGAAAGTGTGGGAAGGGAAGGGTTGAACGCTGAATTTGAGACGGAAACGTTTTGATTTCAGCCGTTTCATAAACCTCCATACGGTCCCAATGTGTGCATGACATCATCCATGTCAGCAGCTTTCTGTGGCGTTTTATAAATGATGTTTACTGGACGTCTTCTCATCCTCTAGAAGGTAGTGATGTCACAGCTCACCACGCCGTTCTACTGGCTGAAACATCACCAGGGCAAATCCACAAGTGCATCTCTCGAGTCTCCGTTGAAACTCTGATCCGATACAAAGATCGGCGAAGACGCGAAGCAAGACGGCCCGCTCAGTCAGAACCCAAGAGTTGTTTTAGTTTTGGACTTCTGTGCGAGTCCCACCTCGGCCGTAACAAACACCGAGTTCAGGCGTAAGGATTCCCACAGGTGCGTGGTACCAGGGCAGCCTAGGCCGCAGGTCCATGACCGGGACAGCCGTGGGTTTTGGACCCTCAGGTGAAAAGGAGAGCGGACCGCCAGCAGAGCCACTCATGGTAACCACGGAGATGAAAAGGGTAGCCTACAGGTTACGGTTGGTCTGTAGGGTTAGGCCGGCAGAGTGTTAGAACGTTTGGTAAGGCCATGGAGAAAAACATCAGTACGCTCCCAAAAGGTCCTGGCAAAGAGGACGAGGACAGGGACTCGCGCACACCGCTTACTGTGTGTGTGTGTGTGTGTGTGTGTGTGGGGGGGGGGGGGTCCACCTGCTGAGGGGTCATACTTTGGGGTGATGGTGGCAGAGGAGTTAAGCACCCTCCCCATAACCAGATGTTGCAGGTTGGTGCCCTGCTCAGTCAGTCATTGTGCCCTTGAACAAGGCACTTCCCCCTGCTTGACTGCTGGTGATGGTACCTGTGTAGGACAGCCTCGTCTCTGTCGGTGTGTCCCAGGGCTGCTGTGGCTAAGATGTAGGGTGTGAATGACTGTACTGTAAAGCACCTTGGGGGGTTCTAGGACTCTAGATGGTGCGATATGAACACAGACCATTTCCACTCCTCTGCCTGCCTACAAGGTCCACAAGTAGTGATGTGGTTTGGTTCGTTTACCTAAAGAGCTCCACCTCGTCCTCTCCGAACGGCCGGGCCTCCTCCGTAGGCAGCATGCTGAGGTAAGCAGCTTTCATGAACACATACATGGCCTGATGGAGACACACAAATAGAGATTACTGATGTTATTCAGATATAAAGGCCATCTCCTTGCTCTTCTGTACCTTGGACCAGCGACTCTCCTGGCTCAGCAGGTCGGCGTAGAAGTACGCCATCTTCCACGCACGTTTAAAGGTGAAGCACCACATCAGCTCCCAGTAGCACATGTGGTGAAACTGCTTCCATGTTTGCTGAGCTTTGCAACCGTGTTCAAAGAGTGCCACTGCCTGGCAGAGCGGGAGAACGCAGGAGAGCCACATCAGTGGAAGCCGGACGGTACATGGCCCGTATCTGTATAGCGCCTTGTTAGGGCTCTGCAACCCCCCAAGGCGCTTCACAACACAATCAGTCGTTCACACGCTGAGAAACAGAGGTGGTTAATAAATATACATGCTGGGCGATGGTGCTGTGGACTAGACTGGCTAAGATAGTGGTGTTCCTACGGCAACCAAAGCATTTCATGACCCACCCAACTGGCCGAGGGTGCAGCCACATAGAAGACACAGTCGCTCGTGTTGTGATGCAGACTTTTAGAAAAACACACCTCATCGATGTTTCCTTTGATCTCCTCAGTTCTGCCAGCGAAGAACAGGAAGATGGCCCCCTAGACAGTCACAGGAAATAAGAGAGTTCACCCATCCTGCACAGTCCTTGTTGGTTGTGTTTAGCTCAACATTTTCTTTCTGCTCCAGCACACGCTGTGTTAAGTTTGCTCTGTGGGATGGGCGGGCCTGTGGGTGAAAGGTGGAGTGGATCCCGGGTCTGAGTTTACAAGAACATGAGTCAGCTGGAGCAGGAAGAAAGAACACGGCAACGACTGTGTGAGCAAGGAGGGTTGAGTAGCTCGATGTGGGACGACAAATAGATGCACTCCTCACGAACCTGCAGGAAGGTGGTAATACTTCACTGGTTAACTGAGGAATACGAATCTGAAGGTGGAGTAAAGGTGCATCTCCGAGATGTTGGAGGTTTAAAGGAAACCGCGTGGGTCCACTCAGACCGCATCAATGAGCTAAAACGGTCAAAGTGGAAGACACAAGAGCAGCCAAACAAGAAGCAGAAAGTAGAATACAGAAATCAGCCGCTGCTCAACCCGTCCTTGTTAGCTTTGGGTGTTTTGTTGCTACATCGGACGGCGAAGGAGGGCCGAGGGCAACGTCGGTCTCAATGAAGACTTCACATCGACGTAGACAGTGTGATGACAGCACTTCATGACATCATAAAAGGAGATAAATGACTGCAAAGAACGGGTCTGCCGGGCGGAGGAGTGAATCTCCACCACGGCAGACGAAGTAATTAGCCTACACGCTAAAGTAACCGAGCTGCAGGGTTAGGGTCACGCCAGGTCTCGTCTAAACAACTTGAGACTGGTGTATTTAGAGGAGGGTGCAAAGGGAGAGGATGTGCATGCTGTCTTGAACGAATGGACAGCAGAGGCGCTGATGGATGAGACACTAACATGGGTCTGGAATTAGCACACCGTATTTATTTATATCCGCCACAGATCTCTCTGAAGAAGTCAGCATTGACGGCTTCAGCAACGCTGTGCCACCCCGTGGATTTTCTCTTATTTGTTTTGCAAAAGCACTTCCTTTCATTTCTCCACCTCACCCACAGGTACCTCATCTTCTACTTGTGTGACATAGCGCTTCCTTGATCTGCGGTCGTGATCGAAATGCTGCAACAGTCGGCTTATGTATATGCATGAGGTCCACAAGGCTCTTTGCATTGACCATTTATGGCAGTAAGTGGGCGTGGTGAGGGTGGGATGTGACTAAAAAGCAGCTGAGAACCTTTCTAGATAGTCTCTGATTTATGAAGCGGAGACTGCGTGCAGCTGTGCGTCCTCCATGTTTGATAGATCACACACCTGCTTGGCGTAAGTACATTTGTTTGCTGAGCTCAAGTACGGTTTTAGTAAGGATTCTACGCATCAGGCACAAACAAAAGAATAAAAGACAGAAAACATTAAAGGAAATGAGCCGACATGAACGATCGCGTGTTAAATTAGTTTTTGAGGTGGCGACACCTGATGTGATGATGTTACTGTGGCCGTGCTCAGGACGCAGATGTCTGGAGCGCGTCAACAATCAGAGCTTTGCATGTGCAAGCTGGTTAAGGTTAGGATGGGGGTGAGGGGAAGGTTAAATTGCAAGAGGGTAAAGGTCACAATTTGGTTAAATGTCCGTTTTACGGCGGGTGTCAGTACCGACGCTCTGGCACAGCGCGTTGCCTCCCAACACACAGGGGCTCGTCACCTGCTGACAGCAGACTGCTGTCTTTTCCGTGGACTGCATCTTGCCGGTCATTATCACGTGACAGCGACTAGTCGATGACAGGCATAACAAGTCACTATAGAGCGGTGAAGTCGACTAGTGACTAGTTCATACAACCCCTAATACAGACTACAGAATAGATACACGCCTCTGAAGGAGATCAGATCGTTCTGTAAAGTTTCAGGTTACAAATAAAAAAAAACTAAATCATCTATTTTAATATTAAACACAAAAGAGAATAAGAACCCTGCTCCCAGAAGCAATAGCACCTCCGTTTGAGTGTTCAGAATACAAATTCTACCCACCCTGGAACAAGTGTTAGACGTCAGTCAGAGCGGACCTCAACGGTTCTACAACAGGCACCGTGTGTGTGTTCATGTTCATTTATTAAAGTCCAAATAAAAAACCTGGATGAATGACAACGTCTCGTCTAAAAATAAAATCAATCGTAGTCAAAAGACTGAATGAACCCTGCTGGACAGTCCTTACCTGAGGGTAGCGCAGCCGGAACGGTTTCAGCAGTCTTTCAGCCTCGATGACCTCCCCCTCACCCGTTCCTGCAGAGAGAAGAGAAGAGGGCTCCAGGCAGAAACGTTTTCATTCATGAATGACGTCTAGACTCTAGAGCTGCAGTAGTACCAAGTATAAATGTGAGGAAGGTGTGGTAGCAGAGAAGCAGCAGAACACACAGCATGGAGCGTAAGTTCATCCCTGTTGCACCGTCACCGAGAAGAGACAGAGCGTACTCCTGGAAGAACGAGCACGTATAAAACCTTCTGGCAGACTGTGAACGGGTGCAGAGACAGTCAGACGCATCAAACCTTATCGCCTGAAAAACCTGCAAACTCCAGCATTTTCAGTATCCGAGGAGGGAATAGCGACAGTGTCTGAAAGAAAGAGAACTTTATTAAAGGTACGATGCGAACACTCGGGCCCAGCATGAATAATGATACCTGGAGTTTAAATCAACACAGAGCGAGTATTAAACGTGTGACAACAACACAATTAAAAACCAACACCAGTTAGTTCCAGATCATGAATGACTTCAAAACATCAACCTCCTGCCTGGTTCCAGTTCCTAAAACATCACATCCCAGAGAACCAGACCACTACAGACCTGCCGCCTTGACCTCCCATCTGATGAAGACTATGGAGAGACTCATCCTCACCCACCTACGTTCACTGGTGACCCCAAAAATAAACCCACAGCAGTTTGCATATAAACCAAACATGGGGTGGAGGACACGCTCATCTACCTGCAGCGCCTGGCTCTGACTCACCTCGAGATACAAAAAAGCACGGTGAGAATCACGTTCTTCTGCTTCTCAAGTGCCTTCAACACCATCCAGCCGTGTCTACTGCAACAGAAGATGAGGGGTGCAGGAATGGACGGACATCTGACTGCATGGACCATCATCTACCTCACCAACAGGCCACAGTACACGAGGCTGCACAACTGTACATCTGAGGTGGTTGTGTGTTGTACTGGAGCTCCACAGGGTACGGTGCTCACACCCTTTCTCTTCACCTGCTTCACCTCGGACTTCACCTACAACACCAGCAGCTGTCACCTCCAGAAGTTCTCTGATGACTCGGCCGATGTCAGCTGTGTGTCTGAGGGGAGTGACCTGGAGTACAGGTCAGTCATCATGGGCTTTGTGGACTGGTGTGAGTGTAACCACCTTCGCTTGAACACCAGTGAGACAAAGGAAATGGTGAAGGACTTCCAGAGAAGCACGCCTCCTCACTCACCAGTGAACATCCAGGGGGCAGACACTGAGGTGGTGGATACCTTTAAGTACCTGGTGCAGGGCTTCCTCCAGAAAACGAGTTAAGCCTGGTGGCTTTGGCCGTCGGGGGTGGGGTGGGGTGGGGGTGGGGGGGTGGGGCTCCTCCGTGAGAGTGTGTGTGGGGGGGGGGGGGGGTACACTTTCCGCTGCCGTTTCTCACCAGTATCAGCTGATGGAGAGCTCTAGTTTCGCTGCGCTGTTTGTGACAGCAGACACGGTAGGGGAGGCGGGGCATGACGCTTAGCCTGGCGGGTCGGCAAGCAAGGCCTGGCGGCCCGCCAGGCTTGTAAAGCGCTGGGGGAAACCCTGCTGGTGTTCACCTCACCAGCACACTGAACTGGTCCAACAACACAGATGCTGTGTAAGAAAGGACAAATCCACCTCCACCTCCTGAGGAGGCTGAGGTCCTTCGGAGTTAACTCTGCTGCTAAAATCCTTTTCTCGCTCTGTGGTTGGCTCTGTTGTCCCCTCTGATGGTCTGTTGGGGTGCAGGCAGCTCCGACCGAGACAGGAAGAGACTGAACAAGCTAGTTCACAAAGCTAGCTCGGTTCTGAGCTGCCCACTGGATGCAGTTGAAAGGAGGATGCTGGAAACTGAAAATGAGTAGGTGACATCAGCGGAGGTTTCCAGGGTGACGGGCTGAAACAATTACTTCTCAAAAGCTAATAAGTCACTGAGCTGAGTCATGGAGGAAATCAGAACCCTCAGGAACACTAAAGTCATTCACTCTTCGACCCGTGGGTCAAGGCTAACAACGTCTCGCCTCTTTTCCATTCTGTTAACACACGTCTGAATGCTCCAGACCAAGCCTTTGTTTAGAGATGGTGGCCAGTTAAGCCAAGTGGCAGCTAGTTAAGCGCCTAAATCTCATCAAATAAAGCAAAGTTAGATGTTCCACACGCTGCCTCTGCATTGTGATCCATCCTTGTATTGCATGGTGTTAGACACAACACAGCACCATGTGTACAGTCCAGCGTTACACGTCTTTACTGCTTACCAAGTTAAAGGCTCCCACTCCAAACGATATTCCTCCCTCTAAGTGACGGTGGCTGGGTCCTTTGATAAAGTTGTGAGACTTAATGAATTTGTGCAGCTCTCTGGGTGAGAAGAGACGTGAGTGAAGAGAACCAGAAATGAATAATAACGTGTGCTACATTAAAAGAGGTGCGGCTTAAAGCCACTAAAACATCGACTGGTTGGTTTGAGAGAGAGGTCCTCCAGACTGCAGCTAGGATGAGACCGGGTTTATCCCACCGACTCAGAGGTGAACCAACTTAAAAAGGTTTGTTCACACAGTAACTCATTTACAGTGTTGGGAGTAACGAGGTACAAAAGTAATTAATTACTGTAATGCATTGCTTTTTGCTGTAATGTGGTAATGTAAGGCATTACAGGGAAAGAAAATGGTAATATTTACTCGGTACAATTGTCAGTAACACGGTAATTACAATGCATTTTTAAACCCAGAATCAAGATGTGGGTTTCTTAAAAATTGAAATCGCGGAAAGCCCAAAATAAAGATCCGGTATCCACTTATATGACGTCATTTATGGACTCCGCTTTGAAGGCATTCTATGAGCAGAGAGGACGCCGCGGTAACGGCTCAAATACTCCAGCTGCGTCCTGCGCGCGGCCGCTGTTATATTCACAAAACTGCTCCACTAAAACAAAATAATTCACTTGCGATCGTTCATGTCAGCGCATGTTCTCTGGTATTCTGTACTTTTCTGACGTGCTTTGCCTCAGCTGAGTCCATAATCTGGGCCCCGGTGATTTCAACTCATTGCTGCTGCTTCAGTAGATCCCTTTGACTGATTAGTTAGAAAGTAGGAAATCTAGTTTACAGTTTTTCTGGAAGACGGAGAGAACATGCAGCATGCAGGAAGGTTAGAGAGAGAAAGGGCCGGAAATTATTCACATAAAATCAAGAAAACAAAACAAAGTGCTTGAAAAGAAAAAAGTAGGTAGATTTATCCCCAATACACATGTTTACCAGTGAAAAGCAATAATATATAAGCATTTAATATTTATACATGTGATAGAATCAGATCACCCCAGAAGTCAGTCCCACATCCAGGGCCGTATCAAGGCATTTGGGGACCAAGGCAAATATAGGCTGGGAGCCCCCACCACCTCACTTCCTGCTCAGATGGCCCTATAAGATGGCAGCGTGCTGAGAGTACAGATTGTTGTTGTTTTTATTTAGTAAACAATCATTTTAAAGCACTGTTATTATATCTGACTGTTTTTAACAGCAGTCCTAGCTCAGACACCACATCACCTTCCACATATATGTCATGAGCTCACGGAGCGTCACATGATCAGATTCATACTGAAGTTGTTTTGGTGAAAGTAACTGAAAGTAATGCAAAAGTAGTGTAATGCCTTACATTTTAAAAACAGTAATATTGTAATGTAATCAATTACATTAAAATGAGGGTAACAAGTAATAAATAATGCATTACAGTTTTGAAGTAACGCCCAACACTGCCCATTTATCATTTAAATGAGAAAATGCATATTTTATGACTAGGTCTTAACCGGCTGCATAAAGAAAATGATGTTAACGCCATTTAAACGATACCTTACCTGTAAATCAGGTAACTGTTCCGAACTTTGATCCCTCCTTTAACGAAACTCACCATGCTCTCATCCTGGGAAAAGAGGTGGATCTTATTTTATCCGTGTTATTAATCATTTTACTTTCTAATTGCTACGCTTGGATTACATCAGAGAAAGCAACTGTGACAAGAACCCGATGAAACTGACTGGAGATCCTGTTTGTGTTCAATAAGTGAGTCGGGGTACCTGTAGGAAGGTGAGGGCCGCTCTTTGGAGTTGACACTCTGCAAAACACACTTCTGCATGGAGCTGCACTGCAGAAGAAAGAAAAACACATCCAGTGAAGCGTGATGGTCCTGTCTAGTGCACGGATCAGTCCTCTCACTAAAGCAATACAAACACTAAACCTTCGGCTCATCACCATCGTGGACGTTGTAGACGCGCGTCAATTTATCAGACTGCAAATAAATAATCTAATATCTGCTCTGGGTCCAGAATGAAGCCTGACGCATCGGGTTTGGGGCATTAGGCAATCCAAACGGGCACCACTTCAGACGGCCATGAAGAATCTGATGAGTTCTGAATACATTTACTATCTGGTTCTGAACTTCCTGTAACCCTCAGGCTGCTTTACCTTCAGAGAAGGATCCACCCACTGACTTGTTAGACAAGCCTGAAGATTTATGCCGGAACCTGAAACAGAACAAAAGCACAACCTTACAATCAGAGCACGCTTTCCTCGGGACGACGCTGCGGCCGTTATAGAAAACCCGTCCGACATCTGGAGCTGAGATGTTGGTGACATCAGCACAACTCAGCTGTTGTGGTCGGCTCAGGCACAAGCAGCAAACACTCAACAGGTCTGCAGCAGAAACTAGAGCTGCTGTCTCAGAGTTCCTGCTGCAGCATCAGGTTGTCTTAGCTTAGCGTGAGCTTCCTGATCAGCTGCTAGCCTGGTCACCGCGCAGCCATGAAGGTGCTGCTGCACCACTTCAGCAGGGTTCTCACCTCTGGCAGACCTCCTGGGCATGCTTCATGGTGTTTCCCGCATTGCTGATGTCATCATGCTGGAAAGTCATCATGGCCTGCATCTCCAGCACCGTGGCGTAGATAAGAGCATGGTACATGCTCTCGTTGACTCTAAGTTTGGAAGACAGGACATCTCATCCTTCATGCAGGAAGCAAACACAGTTAAGGCTGCTGCATGGCCATTTTCCTGCAGAGACACGATAAGTAAATTTCTGTCCTCCTATCTGCTCCTCCAGCCTGAGTGTTTGCTTTGCAGGGCTAACACTCGGCTGGCTGTTTAATCACTCAGGCCTTGGGCGGCAGCTTCAGCAAACACTTGATATCCTGGAGCCCTGAAGCCTCCCAGTTTCAGCTCCACATGGTCTCTGCACGTCACAGCGTTGCTGCTGACATCATGCTAACATGACTGAGCTGATGCGTGGTTGGAGTGGGCTCTCTCTCTTCTCTGATCAGTTTAAACATTCAGAGTCACCAACCACTGCAGATTCATCTTCTAGTGGATCGATCTGTCACGTGAGAAAAACAGAGACAGAGCAGCTACGGGAGCCTGGGAGGTCCAGACAGAAATGCCATCCCCCCCCCCCCCCCCCCCCTCACCCCCCCACCCCCACCCCACCCCCAAAAACGGGATTTAACAGAAGTGTTGCTGTTGGAGTGGACAACTGTTAAAGGGTTTTATCAGGTCACAACTGGTGTGCTGTGCATTTCTTCTGACATGCACTAACTTAATGAAGAAGAAGAGGAAGAGCAAGAAGATAAAAAAGAAGAATAAGATGATGAAAAAGAAGAAAAAGATAGAAAAGAAGAAGAAAAAGATGAAAAAGAAGAACAAGAAAAAGAAGAGCAAGAAGATAAAAAGAAGAAGAAGATAAAAAAGAAGAAGATGAAGATGAAGAAAAAGATAAAAAATAAGAATAAGAAAAAGAAGAGCAGGAAGAAGAGCAAGATGATAAAAAGAAGAAGAGCAAGAAGATAAAAAAGAAAAACAAGAGGAGGAAGAAGATAAAAGAAGAAGAAGATAAAAAGAAGAACAAGAAGATAAAAAAGAAGAAGAACAAGAGCAAGAACAAGAAGAAGAGAAAGAGGAAGAAGAACAAGCAGAAGAAGAGCAAGAACAAGAACAAGAAGAAGAACAAGAACAAAAGAAAGAAGAAGAAGAGCAAGAGCAACAGCAAGAAGAAGAGAAAGAGAAGAGAAAGAGGAGGAAGAAGAACAAGAGGAAGAGAAAGAACAAGAACAAGAAGAAGAAGAAGAGAAAGAGGAAGAACAAGAAGAAGAAGAGAAAGAGGAAGAAGAAGAGCAAGAACAAGAAGAAGAGAAAGAGGAAGAGAAAGAAGAAGAAGATGAAAAAGAAGAACAAGAGCAAGAATAAGAAGAAGAACAAGAACAAGAAGAGCAAGAAGAAGAAGATCAAGAAGAAGAAGGAGAAAGAGGCAGAACAAGAAGAAGAGCAAGAAGAAGAAGAGAAAGAGGAAGAAGAAGAGCAAGAACAAGAAGAAGGGGAGGAAGAAGAACAAGAACAAGAAGAAGAGCAAGAACAAGAAGAAGAAGGTGAAAGAGGAGGAAGAAGAACTACAACAAGAAGAACAAGAGCAAGAGCAAGAAGAAGAAGAAGAACAAGAAGAAGGAGAAAGAGGAGGAAGAAGAAGAACAAGAGCAAGAAGAAGAACAAGAACAAGAAGAAGAACAAAAAGAACAAGAGCAAGAAGAAGAAGAGAAAGAGGAGGAAGAAGAAGAAGAACAAGCAGAAGAAGAGCAAGAACAAGAACAAGAAGAACAAGAACAAAAGGAAGAAGAGCAAGAGCAAGAACAAAAAACAAGAAGAAGAGCAAGAGCAAGAACAAGAAGAAGAAAAATAAGAAGAAGAGAAAGAAGAACATGAAGAAGAAGAGCAAGAGAAAGAACAAGAACAAGAAGAAGAAGAAGAAGAGAAAGAGCAAGAACAAGAACAAGAAGAAGAACAAGAAGAGCAAGAAGAAGAAGAGAAAGAGCAAGAGAAAGAACAAGAACAACAAGAAGAAGAAGAAGAACAAGAGCAAGAACAAGAATAAGAGAAAGAGGAGGAAGAAGAAGAAGAACAAGAGCAAGAAGAAGAAGATGAAAAAGAAGAACAAGAGCAAGAAGAAGAAGAAGAAGAAGAACAAGAGCAAGAGAAAGAACAAGAAGAAGAAGAACAAGAGCAAGAACAAGGAGAAAGAGGAGGAAGAAGAAGAAGAACAAGAGCAAGAAGAAGAAGATGAAAAAGAAGAAGAAGAACAAGAGCAAGAACAAGAAGAAGAACAAGACCAAGAAGAGCAAGAAGAAGAACAAGAACAAGAAGAGCAAGAAGAAGAAGAGCAAGAAGAAGAACAAGAAGAAGAAGGAGAAAGAGGCAGAAGAAGAAGAACAAGAACAAGAAGAGCAAGAAGAAGAGCAAGAAGAAGAAGAACAAGAAGAAGAAGGAGAAAGAGGCAGAAGAAGAAGAACAAGCGCAAGAACAAGAAGAAGAAGTGGAAGAAGAACAAAAGCAAGAGCAAGAACAAGAAGAAGAACAAGAAGAAGGAGAAAGAGGAGGAAGAAGAAGAACAAGAGCAAGAAGAAGAAGAACAAGAACAATAATAATAATAATAATAAGAAGAAGAATAAGAATAAGAAGAACAAGAAGAACAACAAGAAGAAGAAGAGCAAGAGCAAGAACAAGAAGGGGAGGAAGAACAACAACAGAAAGAGCAAGGAGAAGAACTAGAGGAAGAGGAAGAAGAACAAGAACAATAATAATAATAAGAAGAAGAATAAGAAGAAGAAGAACAAGAAGAACAAGAACAACAACAAGAAGAAGAAGAGCAAGAGCAAGAACAAGAAGGGGAGGAAGAACAACAACAGAAAGAGCAAGGAGAAGAACAAGAGGAAGACGAAGAAGAACAAGAACAAGAACAAGAAGAACAAGAACAAGAAGAAAAACAAGAAGAACAAGAGCAAGATGAACAAGAGCAAGAAGAACAAGAACAAGAACAACAAGAACAAGAACAAGAGCAAGAAGAACAAGAACAAGAGCAAGAAGAACAAGAACAAGAGCAAGAACAAGAAGAACAACAACAAGAAGAACAAGAACAACAAGAACAACAAGAACAAGAACAAGAACATGATGAACAAGAACAACAAGAAGAACAAGAACAAGAAGAAGAAAAAGAGCAAGAAGAACAAGAACAAGAAGAACAACAACAAGAAGAACAAGAACAAGAAGAACAACAACAAGAAGAAGAAGAACAAGAAGAGCAAGAGCAAGAACAAGAAGGGGAGGAAGAAGAACAACAGAAAGAGCAAGGAGAAGAAGAAGAAGAAGAGGAAGAGGAGGAGGAAGAAGAAGAGCAAGAACAAGAAGAAGAAGAGCAAGAACATGAACAAGAGCACGAACAAGAAAAAGAGGAAGAAGAAAGAAGAAGCTCACCCCCACATACTCTGCTGACTTTGTGTATCTGTACCTCCGTTACCTCGGTCTGAGCTTCTCCAGACTCTCACTGAAGTGGTTGTTGAGGAACAGGTCCAAGGCCTCCATGCACTCATCCAGGCACGCTTCCAGGATCATCCCAGAGGAGCTGTCCGTCACACACAGAATATAAAGACATTCAAGTCACTTAGACCAGAGGAAAGAGCCGCAGCGAACTGCGCTTCAGCCGCCATGTTTATGACAAACTCAGTGTTGTGGTGTGTGATGTACAATACTCAGCGCTGATTGGCTCAGTTAGAATTCTCAGGGGGCGGGGTTATTTGAATAGGAGAGTTCCCAGACCCTTTCTTTGTGCAGAATTCACCAGAGGAGGAGTCTGGTGAGCCAGGTTGTAACTTTAGGGTCACGTGACCAGATTTAGATTAAGGGTCACGTGACCATGAACACATAATAGAACTCACAGCTGCTCAGCAGAAACAAAGTCCTCCAGTCGCTAAACATCCAGACTCTGGAGCAGAACATGAAAAGCACATAAATGATGAAAACTTTAATAAAATAAGTGGAGAAACGAGCTGAAGCGGACTTCTGGCGTTGCCATGGAGACGTGTAAACTCAGCGTTTTCACTAAATAGCTCCAGCTACACAACATTAAAGAGCGAGTAACGCCTAAATGAACTTGTTTTGCTGATAACCTGCACAGATGAGGGTCTAATGGTGCTGCAGACACGTGTAATCATTAGTGTGGCAGTTTAGTGCAACTTACTCCAAATGTAATATTTCAACCCAAAACCATCATTCTGTCTCCATCTTCAGGTTAAAACTCTGTTCCACATTCATGTAGAACCAGCTGTGGCCGATGGCTACGCTGAAAAACGTGACGTCAGGAAATGACTACGTGGCTGCACCGCACTGGTCTCCAGGTGAGGCAGCCGCACCTCCACCTGGCTCAGCCACTCACCTGCTGATGTGACACGCTGGTGGTCTGAGCCGCTCGCCTCCTTGAGAAAACGCCCTCCTCCCTTTTTCATCTAATGACCGCGGTTAACAGGAAATCCTCCAGAATGCTGCAGCATCTGTGTCTGCTCTTCTCCTGGGCGGTAAGTCTACCGAGAGTGTGTGCTTACGTGCACTAGCGAGTGCGCATGCACTCGATAACGACGAGTTCTGACATCTTTGTAGTCCTCGTAGGCATGAATGAGTTATTCTTCCTCTGTCTGGATGAAGAATGAAGTTCTGTCCTGTTGCTTCCATTCTCATTTATCTGGCATTGACTAGCATGGTCTGCCTGCAAACACATGTGAGCCTCGCTTGAATTAGAGAGGACTGAATCCACCTGACTTGTTTGTGGACCCGACAAATCCTAGAGTAAACAGGTGCGCTTTGTCAAGCAGGGATTCATCAGGAAAGCCTCGATGTTCTGAACGAGCTTTCTGGAACACCTCCAGATGAGTCCTAAACAGTTTACCCCAAAGAGTTAAAACATCACACTGAGTGTCGCTACAACGCTAAAAAAAGTTACTGCTCGGACCAGAACCAGCCTGTCAGGTCCTCTAACCACTGGACTACCAGGTCTGTTACAAGACCATGGTCACCTAGCACACATGTCCTGAGCCGGTCATCACGTGTCTTTGTAGACAGGACTCATGGTCATCACGCGTGTGTTATCACCAGTGCAGATGCAACTAGTCAGAATATCCAGGATCCAGAACCGAGACCAGGCCCGCGTTAGATGACACGAGTCATTTTCATTCAGGCCTTCTGGAATTTTCAAAGTAAAAGTCTAAATGTGCAGCGGAGACAGGAAAATGCAACTAAAAACATCTGGGGTCGGTTTTGTGTGGAAATAACAATAAATCACGTGGTAAAAAGGTGGATTTCCCTTTAATCTAATCTGGGTTCCACATGTGCCATTGCAGCTTTCATCATCATTAATAATTAAATAAAGATTTTTAATAAAGGACTCCTAATCCTGAAGAGATTATGATGGTTCAGCTTTTAGATGCTGAAACTTTCATTTTCAGCCTTGAGTTTGACATTTTTTCACATAAATGTGGACATCTCAGCGCGCTTGTCCTCCTCCGTGTGGACATCAGTCTGACTCCTCCAGAGCTCCAGAGGTTTTCACAGCTGCAGCTTCAGCCTGGTCTCTAATTTCCCTCTGGGATTAATAAAGTATTGATTGATTGGTTGGTTGGTCCAAGCGGGGTCCAGCTGGACCAGCTGAGACGTTCTGGTGCTGCTGCATGCTCTTTGGGAGGAGGGAATGTTAGACTCTTCTGGACTTCATGCAAAATTATTATCAGTAGCCAAACTTTGTGACGTCAACATTTCCGCCCTGCTAAACTTTTAGACAGATCTGTGAGGTGACGTCACCTCAGAGGAAGTGCCGTTTTCCGCCTCTCCTCGGTAAACAGGCTGCTTCACTAACTGAAAGCACGCGAGCGGCTCCTCCTGCCCCTGCCCCTGCACCTCCTTCCCCTGCTCCTGCACCTCCTGCCCCTTCTCTCGCAGCAGCTCCGCGTTTCTCTGCTCTGCTGACGCAAGTTGGACGAAGAATAAAGAAACCGAACCAGAGTTAAGAAACAAAAACGGCTTTTGTGACGTTTCTCTGCGACATCAGCTGCAGCTGTTGGCTGGAAGTTCTCACGCTCCAGGCTGAAAGCGAGCAGGGACATTTTCTCTAAACTCATTTAGTGATGAAGTCTTACCTGTCCGCAGCGCGCGGCTCTTTCCCATTGGACATGGTTCCTCTGCGGGCGGCGCGCGCCGAACACCTGAGTCCAGAGCCACGTACGCGCCTCCAGGGACGCAAACTGAGCTCAGGTGATGGAACAGCTGTCTGAGCTGCGGACCCAACGGCATGGGCATGCGCAGTAGTGGTGAGCCCTGACTCCTCCCTGTGGCTCAGCTGCACCACGCCCACTTCAGACGGACGAAGGTGACAGTCCAGCCATGTTTGCGTCTCAGCTCAGAAGTTTTATCAACGTCCTGTAATCCGGATTATCACCAGATCTGAGAGCACGAAGCAGCTCAGATGGTTGGTTTCTGCTGTTAATCTGGTTTCAAAGGTGAAGGTGAACCAGGGTTGGGGGGGGGGGGTTGAACCAGGGTTAGGATATCATCTATAATCGGTAGGTTGCAGGTTCAAACCCTGTTAGTCGTGCACCCTCCTCGCCTGCTGTGAGTGTGTAGCTCATCACCCTCTGTGAGTGAGCGTGTGTGTGTGTGTGTGTGTGAGTATGAATGACTGAATGTAGTGCAGTGTGCTTTGGAGTCTTCTGACTCTAGAAGGGTACACGAGAGCTGGTCATTAGACCAGTCTGTGCCAAATGGCCGAGGGCTAATGGCTTAGCCCAAGCTAAAACTACGGCTCCATGAAGAAGTGTGTCCCTGAGAAGCTGCTCCTTGTTCCGTCCTAACCCTAGCCGGGCCTAAAACCAAGGCCACATGGCGAGGAAGCCTGTACGATGACATCATGACCATCACCAGTGTGCAGCCATGTAGCTCCTCACCCTTCTTTGGTATGTTCTTGCTGTGTCTGGTTTCTAACTGCATTTCTGGTTCCTTTTTACCTTGCTGACAACAAACCTGTCAGCAAGGTAAAGAAAACCTTTTCTGTGTCATAAACAAGAACCAAAAATGCCGTTAGAAACTAAACACAGCAAGAACACACCGAAGATGTTCAAAGAGAAATACGGACAACAAGGAACGAAGGACTTCCGCCGCTTGGAACGATTACGTCTGAGGAACCACCTTCGCTTCAGTTTAAGATGCCGGGATGAGAACATCACACCCACAAGCCCACAGCTGAAAACACCGATCCGGACCAAGACAGCACAGAACATAATGAAAGAACACAGAGAGCACTGCTCAAGGAGAGGATAAGGAACGTCATAACCAATCAGAGGCGAGTGGAGGACGAACTGGAAAGAAGACACCTGGACTTAAAAAGGAATTACAAACTCGATAAACAAATGGAGGAACTACTTAAAGGACACATGATGGAAAAACAGGAAAAGAGTGCATAAAAGTAAAAGAAAGACACATAAAGAAGTTAAACAGACTCATAAACAAGAAAAAGAGAAAAGAAAAACAAGATAACACCACACAAAGCTCGTGGGTACGTAACCTTTCACAACACGGACTAACAGAAGCAGAAGAAAGTATTAAAACAGGTTTAAACTTTGCAGTCACACCAAAAGAAATACCATGTGATGAATTCATCGTAGCAACAGAACTAGCATGTCAACAGATCACAGATGAGGGAACGAAAGCAGAACTCAGAAATAACGTAGTTGGGATATTAAAGACAATCAGCCATGACAGCTTTATCCAAACATGAACAGATAATTATTCTACCGGCAGACAAAGGAAGAACTACAGTAGTTATGGACAGAGGAACATATAAACTACAGATGAACCAGATGCTAGAGGACAAAATACATATGAAATACTTAAAAAGACCCAACAGAAAACATTAAGAAAAACATGAAAGAATGACAGAAGCACTACAAGAAAAAGGCAAAATAACAGGAAAAATGTACAAACACTGGATTCCTACAGCTAACATAGCACCAAGAATGTATGGAACACCAAAAATACACAAACAAAACACCACTTAGACCAATAGTAGACAGCATGGGTACACCAACATACAACATGGCAACAGATATCAGCAGAATCATCAGTCCGTTATTAGGAAATACAGACCAACACTGCAAAAACAGCATAGGACTGGTAAAAGAACTAAAGGAGATTACAATAGAAGATAACGACATACTCATCTCACATGACGTCACATCCCTGTTCACAAAAACACCAACCCAAAAAACCATAGACATAGTAGTGAACAGGGATGCACCTCTCTGTGAAAAACGATTCAACATGAATTTAGATGCACCAAAACGATTTGCTTTCATTCCAGACTGACTCGAACGGTTCGGTTACGTGTTTAATGATCGACACAGTGAGAAGAAGCCGTATATTTATGTCGACGGAAGAACCAAACAGTTCGTGTTTGTTGGATATGTTTTATAAAGAAAAGAACCCAGTGCTGTTAAAGGGACAGAACCACTTTTATTTTCATATATGTAAAAAACGTGTCCTAATCATCGTGGCTTCATGGCACTGGTGGGAAAAAAGTAAAGAAAAACAGAATACCAACACCACACGTTACCTTACTTATCTTTAGACATGGAGGCAGGTGGTTGGAGCGCTGGTTGGGAATTCCAGAGGTAGCCAGACCAGTTTAACACAGTGCAACATTTCAGCCTGAGCTTGTTCTGAACACTAGAGGTAGGAAACAAGGTGTGTCATTTCCATGTAAACAAGTCACACACCTGTAAACCGTTACCTTATCGTGATGTTAGCCTCATCTCAGAATGTAGCCCCGAGCATGGGGAGCCCAGTGGAACGCCAAAGCAGCAACAACATTCCCAACTCAACAAGGCTCAACAGTGGCAAGTGCTTCATGCACAAAATTAGAGAAAATAAATGAAACTAAAATCAAACTGCTGCGTTTTGACCGGGTAAAGGTATTCTATCCAGTCAGAAACTGAAAACAGCTCGCTTCACTTACAGAACGCCTGCGCATGTTCTCTGTCGTTTTACTCCTGATCCCTCTTCGGCAGATATTTTCTTCGTTTTGACAGGAGGGAGATCATCTAAACAAACAAACAAACAAACAAAACAACTACCATATGTTACTGACTTTGTTTGCCACGACTCAGTGGTGCTCTACTGTGTAGCTGACATAACCCAATCTCCATCTGATGCTCAGAACGATTTACTCTTGCAAACATTTGTAAAAGTTGTAGGATTAAACCCCGTCTTTGCATGCTAATTCTCATATTTCATGTGTTGTTGTAACATGGTAATATTTTAGATCTGTAGCATGAGTTTATACCAGCGTCAGCCCATTGTTGATCACGGTATAAAATATACAAACCTTCTGGCTCGTGTTGGGCCTGGGGGGCATCCAGACAGCTTGTGTACAAAATCAAAGAAACAGTAACAGTAGTCAGAATAAATCTAATAATACAAAATTATAGATTCATACAATGCACTGTAACATCATCATCATGCACCAGTTGCCACCCTCAGTTAGGCTGTCCCCATCTCTGCCAGTCTTTAAGAATCACCTAAAAACACACCTCCTCCGCTTGGCGTTTCCAGAACATGTTTGATTTTGGCCCTCTTTTATGTTGAATCCATTCCACAGTTTTCATTGGTACACTCAATCCATCCACTCAATCCAATTGTGTTTCACACATTTGTATTTTACCAGAATGTTTCATCTATCTTGTAATTTCCATTTTGTATTTTGTAATTTGAATTTCTTTTATTGTTGATTTATTCAGTATAATTACTTACAACTGTACCATGTTCAGCGCTTTGGGCTTCCTGACAGGGTTGCGGAAGGCGCTTTATAAATAAAGCTTTGATTGATTGATTGATTGAACATGAGAGAGAGGTATAGAGAGAGAGAGAGAGACAGAGAGAGAGAGTTATATAGAGAGAGAGAAAGAAAGAGAGAGAGAGGTATAGAGAGAGAGAGAGAGACAGAGAGAGAGAGTTATATAGAGAGAGAGAAAGAAAGAGAGAGAGAGGTATAGAGAGAGAGAGAGAGAGGTATAGAGAGAGAAAGAAAGAGAGAGAGAGGTATAGAGAGAGAGAGAGAGGTATAGAGAGAGAGAGAGAGAGAGGTATAGAGAGAGAGAGAGAGAGGTATAGAGAGAGAGAGAGAGAGAGGTATAGAGAGAGAGAGAGGTATAGAGAGAGAGAGAGAGAGGTATAGAGAGAGAAAGAAAGAGAGAGAGAGGTATAGAGAGAGAGAGAGAGGTATAGAGAGAGAAAGAAAGAGAGAGAGAGGTATAGAGAGAGAGAGAGCGAGGTATAGAGAGAGAAAGAAAGAGAGAGAGAGGTATAGAGAGAGAGAGAGAGGTATAGAGAGAGAAAGAGAGAGAGAGGTATAGAGAGAGAGAGAGAGAGGTATAGAGAGAGAGAGAGAGAGAGAGGTATAGAGAGAGAGAGAGGTATAGAGAGAGAAAGAGAGAGAGAGGTATAGAGAGAGAGAGAGAGAGGTATAGAGAGAGAAAGACGAGAGAGAGAGAGAGAGAGGTAGAGATGTGGAACCAGCTCAAAGCAACATTTTCCGTAATTATTAAATTTAAATAAAACATCTTAAATCATCTGTATCAGATGTAAGAGAACACCAGGAGAATATTTGTTGTTTATAATCTTAAAACCATTTCTGTGTTGCTCTAAATTCATCTGGATGATTATACAAGTTTTAAATTCCTGAATAAACCAGCTTTTCCAGAGTAACCCAGAAAGTCATATACATACATGTATAATATTATACTTACTAATAATTACATGAAGCAGCTCGAATAAAGCAGCTACCCTGTTTTCTGTGACGTCCGCTTGTAAGTGACGGGTTGAACAGCAGAGGGAGCTGTTTCCTCCATCTCATCAGGACCTGGAGCAGCTTCTTCAGTTGTAGTAACATCTGGAGTAATTCCTTAGCGGCTGGAGGGTCAGACCCATCTAAAGTCCCCGTTAGCACGTGGGACTGTCATCATGGGAGTGAAGAGAGACCGACTGTAGCATCAATTACAGGTAACAAAACTGTTTCTGTGTTTTAAAAAAGAACGACTACATGGAACACACTGGTTCTCTTGCTTCATCTTGATGGGTCGTGAGCATGGTGGTGAGAATGTGCTCCTTGCGCCGGCACCACCTAGCTGAAATCACGCCCATGCACTCTAGACTCCCTGAATCTGCTCTAAACGCTCCAGCTCTCTCCAGGCGTGACCGCTGCGATGTGCTCTATGCTGGACGGAGGCTCGGAGCCGGAGCTGCTGAATGTCCCACGCTCAGCGATTCCCAACCCAGGTCCTCAGGGCACGCCGACCTGCACGTTTCCACGTCTCTGCTTCAGCACACCTGGTTTACTTAGCCTCCTCAGGAGGACATCAAGTGCTGCAGATGCCTGTTAATCACTCATTCCTGAAGGTGGGCAGAGGAACGCTGGTGTTTAGAAGGACAGCATGGGAAACCTGCAGGACCGGGTTGGGAGACGCTGCTCTACAGGACTGGGGTGGTCGGGCCTTCTCTGGAACGAACTGCTGCTCGTTCTTCAACAGTCGCCATCACTGCAGGTTGTTCCGAGTGGCTCGGTGACTCGTTGTTATCGTTTGGCTTTTATGTGACATGGTTGACTTCTCCGTTGCTTTTGTTGCGTGCTGCGTTCAAAGCCGTGGGCTTCTGCGAGGTCAGGGGAAGGCACCGTATAAATGAAGCTCGAGCGCTTGATAAGCTACCGCCGTAGAGGGTCTGGGGTCCGCTCTTGATTGGCTGTTGAACTGGTCAGACCGTAATAATGTTGCACTCGTACAGCTCACTGCAGTCATTCATCCATTCACACTGATGGTGATGAGCTACACTGTAGCCTCAGCTGCCCTGGGACACATGGCGGACACGGGCACCACCGGCTCCTCCGACGACCACCAACAGCCTGGGTTGGAACCAGCAACCCACAGATAACAGGGTGACCTCCTCACCCCCGAGTCATCGTCGCCCCCTCATACCAGCATTTTAACAGTGAGGAGAGAGACATCCGAGCGGTTTGTAGATCTGTCGACGCTTCTCCTTCACCGCCAACACTTCCTGACAGCAGCACACACTTTAACTGGTTACGAGGTTTTTATTCCAACATGAATACAACTTACAAACCAACATGACTTCTGTATTTTTCATCCTTCGTTGAGATAAAACGTTCACAGCAGCCCGTCCAGCCCCCCAGTGGGTCCCAGCTTTGGTTTCGTTTGTACAAAACGAATCAAAGCCGTTTACAGAAAATCAGGCTGCTTTAGCACTGGCTGCTGTGTATGATGTCTAATGGGCAGCTAGCATCCAAAAGGGACATTTCCTTGAGAAACAGGCCGTTTACATTCATATGTTGTGGATAAAGTCAAACATTTATAACTAGCTACGTCCTTCAGTAATTGCACGAGTCTCCACGGTAACCATCCTCCTTGACGAGCTGCAGGAAACTCCACCGGATCCTTCATGCGAGCTTACGCCATGGTGGACTTTATTCTGCAGTACAGTGTCATTGAGACCACCATGGCACATAACTAAAGGAAGAACATGCACATGAATTAAAAACACAACATCTCCCTTTACTCCAAACTACGGTGGATGTCATACCTCCAGAGCTGCTATCCCGAGAGCCACCGCGATGATCACAACCGTGTTTCCATCAACCAGGCTTTTGATCTTTGGGAAGCATCCAGCGGTCATCTGAGGACGACGCAGCACAGAGACGTAGAAGTACAGCTCACGCCCGTTAGACCAGCAGCAGCTGCCTCTCTACAGACAGGATGAGAAGTACATACCGTGTTTTCAGCCACCGTCTGATTACAGGGGTTGTTGGTGTTCCCGCAGCACTGAGGTGGATACATGGAGGTGGAGCTGTTATAATACGGAGAATTCCTGAAGTCTGTGAAGTTGTTGAATCCACAACATTTCAACTGCAAAGACAACAGATGTTGCGTGAAGCTCGGAGATGTGCCATGAGATGGTACACCCAGAAGACTTTGGTACCGTGTCCATGGTGCTATTCCAGAGTCCAGTGAGGTCGGCGTTCCTCCCGTAGGAACTCTTGATGTTGTCAGACGCTGCTTGGCCAACCTTTGCAAACAGGTTTGCTGCCTGATACACAAGGATAAACGTTCACATCTCATCGTTACAGGTCGGGATCATCTGGTTGTGAAAATCCCCGAGATGTTGGGCGACTCACCAGAGGCTGGAATGCCAGAATCACCACGGCTCCTGCCACCTCCGCGATGAAGACCAGCAAAACTATGAGAAAAAACTGAGAAGACCGACGACACTGGCGTTACTGACACCAGGTGGCAAACACCTTTCCCACAACAACCCTACCACGACACAGAACATGGTGTACATCAGGCCAGCATGGTCAGTCTGCTTTAACCTCTAGAGACGCTGCTGCCCCCTACAGGACATTAACCTCTTACACTATAATATGTTATCCTCCCCAGTTCAGACCTGGTTTTAATATTTAGACACTTGATTGAGATGTTTTATTGTTTTGTTTTCTTGTTAATTTAACTTTGATTTTCAATCACTGCTTTCATGTTCAGTAGGTCCTACTGATCTGATACGGCTAAAATAAATGAATAAAAACTTGAGATAAATGAAAACATCTGACCTTAAGGTCCAATTTGTGTTGTCCAAGCATGGAGCCTAACATTATAATATTGTCCTCAGGAGATCCACTGGACATTTTACACCACATATGTAGAAAATCCCCATCCCGCCCTCAGCAGGCTCAGGTGCTCTACCAGAGGCCTGGGAGCTTCAGGGCTCTGTGCAGTATCTCAGCTGCTAGCTGATCTTTGGGCTTCTACTCCTTACTGTGAATTTCAGTCTATTTTCTATCAGGAGCTAAAGCAGGAAAAAGGTGTAGGAGACTATTTCCATGTTCAGCCTGCAGGAAACACTCAGAGCGACCCGTTAAAATCAGAAATAATCACTAAAAAGTTTTTTTTTTACTGAACCACAACTTTAATAATCAAGCTCCATCATACATCAGTGATCTGATTGTTCCATACGTTCCTAACCGAGCACTTCGCTCTCAGACTGCAGGTCTACTGGTGGTTCCCAGAATATCTAAAATCAGGATGGGAGGCAGATCTTTTAGTTATCAGGCTCCTCTCCTGTGGAACCAGCTCCCAGCTTTAGTCCGTGAGGCAGACACTTTGTCTACTTTTAAGAATAGGCTTAAAACATTTTTATTTGATAGGGCCTATGGTTAAAATCTGATGTTAGCCTAAATCTGGACAAGTGGGGGAGTAGAGGGAGGTGGAGTGTACAGTCGGTAAAGACGGCTCTCCCTTGCCCTGCCTCCAACATGCCTCCATCTAAATAGGATAGGTTATCCAGAGTTAACTCTGTAGTTATGCTGCTACAGGCTTAGACTGCTGGAGGATACACTGACCACTTTTCACACTCTACTGCTTTCTTCTACAATCTGCTCTTTAACTGTATTATTTCCTGCTATTTCAGCTGTTAACTTTATTTTCTCTCTAAGTGTTTTTCTCCCCAGAAGAAGCTACAATGATGTTCTGCTGAGCTGTGGTGGCCTCATGGAGGGGGCCATCGACTAGCACACTGCTGCTAACCACTTAAACATTCTCCCTCTCCTGATAATAACTTTTTGGTTTCCTTGACTTTTGATGTGCTACTACTAGTTTATCCGTTTAATTATAGATCCACTAGGATAAATACAATAAAGTTTATCTCTCACCAAATAGAATATTTACTAAGAAATCACAATATAACTATAGACACATTATTGTGTGTGTGTGTGTGTGTGTGTCTGTGTGTGCGTGCGTGCGTGCGTGCGTGTGTGTGTGTGTGTGTGTGTGTGTGTGTGTGTGTGTGCGTGCGTGCGTGCGTGCGTGCGTGCGTGCGTGCGTGCGTGTGTGTGTGTGTGTGTGCGTGCGTGCGTGCGTGCGTGCGTGCGTGTGCGTGTGTGTGTGTGTGTGTGTGTGTGTGTGTGTGTGTGTGTGTGTGAGATTCCATGCTATCTGCTGGGGTTTACTTTGTGGAGCGCCGTGAGGCGGCTTGTTGTGATTTGATGCTTTTTACCTAAACTGAAGTGAACGTGATGCAGGTGAAAGAAAGCTGGAAGAGGACAGAGAGGCACAACCTGAGGATGTAACGGAGTTATAAAGAGAACGGCGGTGTTGCCGTAGCCTAATTTAAGAAAAGTTGATGTAAAACAAGATTTAACAGTCAGAGAGGAAGTTGTTGGGAGGGTGGAAGTGAGCTTAGAGGAAATGCAGAACCCTGAAGAACACCAGTAGCAACTCAGGCGTGTGATTTTATCTGAATGCACTGAGTGGAACCAGTTTAAACCAGTTACAGGATGTGCTGCTAGTGGTAATGGCTGCTAATCTGTCCACCGCTACAGGAGAAGGTGTCAGCTTGAGAACGTCCATCTACAGCTACGTAGGTGCTGCTCTTGCTGTAAATGATATCCTGATACGTTGAATCATGACGCAGCTCATGTCTACAGCTAGACTGGACCAACAACAAGCATCAAGCATCACGCCACGGGGACTCCTTACCAGCAGCAGCATGCACTTGCTCTCTCTGACGGCTCCACAGCAGCCGAGGAACCCGATGACGACCAGCAGAGCACCGATGGCAATCAGCAGGTAGCCCACATTGAGCACCTGGCTGATCTCTGGTGGAACGTTTTCAATCTTCCCAAGAAAACTGAGGACAGAGCCGCTGTCCACCTTCACCCAGATCCCAACACCCAGGATGCCGATACCAGCAAGCTGATTGTTCAGAGAGGGAAACGGTAAATGAGCAAGCTTTACTGGATTACAGCAAGTCAAGTTTCTTTTAGACAGAAGAACATTCATGTTACCAACATTGGTCAATATCTGGAACATCTACTGTCCTTCATCCTTCCTGCACGTGCAGTAAGTCTCTAAACAGCAGCCCTGAGGAAGCTGTTCATGTGACCTCTACACAGCAGCACTCAGGATGGCAGACACCTTCACATGCGTGTTTAAACATCTGCCCGTCAGAAACATGAAGGTAAATAAACGAGATGACTCACAAAGATGATGCCGTTAAACACAAACATCATGGCCTTGAGGAATGTGAAGCACCCCATCGTTCCAGCTGATAGTTGCACCTGGTCGATGAAAAGGAAGAGAACAAGGAAACGTCGTCACTAATCAGCTTTTACACAGACACCTTTCTGTTCATCGGGTTTGTTTCCTCTGAGGCATTCGGTGATGACTGCTGACCAGTTCTGTGTCATGTGTGTCCAGCATGGACCACACTCCACAGGAACCACCACCTCCTGCACCACGAACCAGGATGATGCAGAGATGGAGGCCTGGTGAGCAGACGTGAGAACATCTGGGAAGCCGACCACACACTGGTGACAGCTGGAAGAGCTTTAGAGCACGTCCTGGTTGTGAGACATCCGAGTGAACCGGAGGGACGAACCGATGAGGAAGTTTCCATCACCAAGGCAGCAGCATGCAAATACAGCAACCAGGTGCTGCTGACCACACACAGCGACTGGAAAACAAGAGCTGCTGTGGAAGGTTTAGGAGCCATCTCATAAAAACATGACTGTCCTACCTGTCCTTCAACCACCTGTGTTTGGAGAAACAGATCAGCGAGGAACATGACTGAGAGTATCGGGTCTCTGAGAGCCAGGACTCCTGCTGGTTGTCAGGTCACTCATGTGCAGCAGTGCAACACAAATAAATCATTTAAAAATCACAAGATGTGATTTCCTGGTTTCTTTTAAATCCCGTCTCTGGCAGTGGGACCTCAGACCCGTCCGTGATTTCTGAGTGTTCAAATGCTTCTGGAGGTCCTGATAGACCAGAGGTAGGCAATCCTGATCCTGAAGTGCTGCTATCCAGCATGTTTAAGTTCTTTCCCTGCTTCAACACAGCTGATTCACCTGTTCACAAAGTTACCAAGCTCTGCAGAAGCCTGTTAATCCCTCAGTGATTTCAATCAGGTGTGGTGGAACAGGGAAAACACTAAAACATGCTGGATAGAGATCTCCTGGACCAGAGCCGCCTACTCCTGTAATAGACTACAGCACAAACACTGCCTACTCCTGTAACAGACTACAGCACAAACACTGCCTACTCCTGTAACAGACTACAGCACAAACACTGCCTACTCCTGTAACAGACTACAGCACAAACACTGCCTACTCCTGTAACAGACTACAGCACAAACACTGCCTACTCCTGTAACAGACTACAGCACAAACACTGCCTACTCCTGTAACAGACTACAGCACAAACATTCAGTCTGCTGCTGTCGCCTTCGACCATCTCTGCTACTCACACACACACACACACACACACACACACACACACACACACACACACACACACACACACACACACACACACACACACACACACACACAAACACACACAGATTTGTGTGTGTGTGTGTGTGTGTGTGTGTGTGTGTGTGTGTAACCTCAGTTCTTTTACAAGAGGTGGTTCACATGAAAATCTTGGCGGTGTAACACCTGGTGGACCAGACCAGAGGATTCTAGATTCTGAGGAGCAAGTGGTGGAGTGACATCATGGACCAAGCCAGGTAAGTAGAACAATGGTTTATTACCAAGCGTTTATAAACAACTACAGATATAATAAACCGTTTTGTGAAATAAAATAAAATAAAATGTCTCCAGTCTGTATTTGTTCAGTCAGTCGATGTGATAAATGTTCATGAAATTTTCAGTCAGATCTTGGGTTGAGCTCAAGTTCAGGTGAGTGACAGACCAGTTCATCACCGGCTTGATGGTCCGTTTGGGCTGGGCTCGCCATCCAGAACTGGAACAAGGATCTTCAGTTCACGGAGTGAATCAATCCAATCCGAGGTGAATCGATCCATCAATCAATGTTTCGTAAATTTCCATTTACAGTTCAATATTCATTCTAATTGTGTAATGAGGTTACTATTGTAATCTGGGTTTTACACCGGATTACACCGAGTGTAATGCTTGAATATGCTTCAGTTAATGCACTTGTGAACGCTAAGGCCAATCCTTGAAACAAGGACTGTGCGAGAGATACAAGAGGCCTTCCCAGTCTACTGTATTGTAGCCTATCAGGTTGGGTTGTTGCTCTTTCTGAGAGTCTCGAAGTCTTTGGGGTTTCGCTCGCAGTATCTAACTGATTTCCTATTTCATCATCTAGTCGTTCTCCTCCTGCAGGTTCACTGCAGGTAGGTTCTTCAGGTAAGTTAGTTGTATTCTCTGTCTTAAGTTCGTCATTTACCGATTCCACATCTGTTTTGCTTCCTTCTAGGCTTCCTTCATCCGGTGTGGCTCCACATTCAGGTAAGTTTTCAGGTTGAGTTTTTATTTGGCAATCAGGTAAATCGCCAGGTTCAGTACTCATTTCCCACTCTGGTAAATTATCAGGATGAGTACGCGTTTCACATTCAGGTAAGTTTTGTTCAGTTATTTGAGCTTCTACCGTTCCTGGAAGTGCCGTTCCAGGCACTTACTTGGCCGAGGAATCTCTAGAACCTCAGTAAGTTATGGGCTCTTGGTCAGGTTCCTTTCTGAACCAGTAGACACTCGTCCTCTGATTCTGAGTTCTCACTGTCAGCGTGTAAACTACGGGACTGCCTGGTTCTTGGTTTGCCAACGCAACTGGGTCGAACAAGTTCTTCCTCGACGGGGCAAGAAAACCACAAGGGAGTAAGAGATTTCGGTGGACCGTACAAACTGGGCCTTCTTTAGCTTCAGGCTTTATAGTAAACAGGAAAGTCATTTCATTGGCGCATCACCACATAAATATCAGCCTCCCACCCGTCTGCTAGTTTGTGCTTACCTCTGAGACGAACTGCTTGAACCATTACTCTGTAACCTGGTTCTAACCTAGAGGGTTTTACTTGGGTGTCGTATCACATTTTGTTCTTTTCTGCCATCTTTTGAGCATTTTTGGTTGCTAACTTGTAGCTTTCTTGTAACGTTGCTTAGAGTTTTTCTATGTACTCAGAGTTTGACTTAAAACTTTTACAGTGAAGAGGAAGTCCGAATGCTAAATCAACTGGTAATCTGGGCAGTCGGCCAAACATTAGCTCGTATGGAGCAAAACCAGTGGCGTCATTTTTACAGTTGTAGTTTAACATAGTTGTGCCACTTGGTTTTGTCTTTCTCTTCCAGGGTACCTAGCATACTCAATGACTTTCGATTGAAACATTCATCTGGGTTCCCTCTGGGGTGATAAGGAGTTGTTCACATTTTAGTAGTACCAATAAGTTTACAAAGCTCTTGTATGACCAGGGCCCTGATTGCTATGTAGTCGTTTGGGTGTCCCGTAATGGACTATGAAATTGTCCCAAAGTGCTTTTGCAACGGTTGGGGCTTTCTGATTGCAGGTAGGGATGCTACAGCAGACTTGGTGAAGAGGTCGGTTAATACCAGCACATCTTATTTTCCACATCGATCAGGCTCAATGGACAGAGAGTCCAAACAGACTAACTCGAGTAGACTTGATATTGACAAGTGGAGCGGTTTTCTCTGGAGAAGTATAGCATCCTACACAGCGATTGCATGTTTTAACCCTGTTGTCAATCTCAGCTGCCATGCGAGGCCAATAGAATCTTGCCCTGGTGAGATCTAAGGTACGTTGAGTGCCTAGGTGTCCCATATCACCATGTAAACTTTTAAAAACGGAATTGTTGCCTGTACGGTGCAGTACGTTGTTATGCACTTCGAGTCAACTGAGCTCTCTGAGCAGAAGGTTGATACCCGGAAGTTCAGCTCGGACCATCGGTGGTACTTTCTCTCTGGTCTCGATTTGTGCTATAACCTCTCTAAGCAAAGGGTCAGTTCGTTGTTCATGCATGATCTTTTCTGGAGACAGGTGTGGTACCACAGGTAAACCTCCACAGTCTGTCTCATTGACAAAGTCATCTGGAATGGCAGCTGCCGACGTAGCCAAGGACTGAACCAAGGGAATGGTAGCACGAGCTACAGGAGAGATGTTTCTCACAAATGGCTGACACAACTTCAGGACTTACACTACTTTCAGACTAGGACAGGTGGGTTTGTGTAAACTGCTGTATGCGATCGAGTTCTTTCTGAGACACAGCATCAGTGCGTAGATCACCATGTGGTCGCCTGGAGAGACCATCGGCATCACAATTTAGCTTACCTGCTCTACACTGGAGTTTAAAGTCAAAAGTAGACAGAGCAGCTTGCCACCTGTAACTGATGGCATCCATCTCGGCAGTGGTCAAGATGTAAGTCAGTAGGTTACTGTCGGTCATGACCGTAAACTGGTTTCCATATAAGTAATCAGCAAATGTATCCGTTCTTGACCACTTTAGAGCTAAAAACTCTAGTTTATGGGCGGGGTAATGAGACTCACTTTTGGATGAGCCTCCGCTCGCACATGCAATGACCCTCGGCTGCCCATCCTGCTCTTGATACAACGCTCTGCCAAGTCCAGTTGTGCTGGCGTCCGTATGAAGGGTATAAGGCAATTTGGGGTCAGCAAAACCCTGGACTGGTGCAGCACTGAGCTTTTCATTGATGGTGTTAAATGCAAGATCTCAAGAAGGAGTCCACCTACCATCGAAAGGTGTCTTCGGGTCGGGATACCGATGTTGCTTGTCTTTAGGTTTTGGGCTTTTGCGCAACGGAGGGTATACGGAAGTTAAGTCAGTTAAGGGCTTAACTATGCTTGAATAGTTTTTTATGAAGCGCCTATGGTACCTGGAAAAACCAAGGAATGAACGCAGTTGTCCGAGACCACAAAGAACAGGCCAAGTCCGTAGGGCTTCTACCTTCTCAGGATCGGTCTCCACTCCTCTGCTAGACACAATATGACCAAGATACTTCACCAAAGTCTGGAAAAACTTGCATTTCTCAACGGACAACTTAAGTCCATTTTCTCTTTAAGCAGCTGAGGACTTTTAGTAACCAAGCTTCATGTTCTTCAAGTTTTAGAAAACACGATGATGTCATCAAGAAACACAATCACTTCATGGAGATTCATGTCACCCTTGCATTTCTCCATGTGTCGTTGAAAGGCGCTAGGAGCATTAGTATGGCTGCATGATGGCGCAGTGGTTAGCACTGTTGCCTCGCAGCAAGAAGGTTGCAGGTTCGAAACTCGGCTGCGGCCTTTCTGCGTGGAGTTGCGTGTTCTCCCCATGCATGCGTGGGTTTCCTCCGGGTACTCCGGTTTCCCCCACAGACCACAACACGCCCTACAAGTTAAAAATTGTACGTCGCTTTGGATAAAAGCGTCTGCTAAATAAATAAACAACATTAGTAATTCCCTGAGGCCTCCTATTGAATTCCCAGAAACCAATGGGGCATACAATAGCTGTTTTGGGTTTGTCTTGCTCTGCTATTTCATTTTGGTGATAACCGGATTTTAGGTCGAGCACTGAAAACCACTTGGAACCATTCAGAGCAGAGAACGTTTCTACTAGATCTGGGAGGGCGTAAGCATCTTTCACTGTCTGATTGTTACGTTTTCAGTAGTCTATACAAAGAGGAGCGTCTCCATTTTTCTTACGTACAACTACGATAGGTGAAGAAAAAGGCGAGGTTGACTCACGGATCACACCTGCTAGTTGAAGTTCTTTGAGATGCTTACAGACAGCTTCGAGGTCATTTGGGTGTACAGGACGAGCTCTGTGTTTGAAAGGCGCTTCATCTGAAGGTCTGATGGTGTGTTCTACCTGATTGGTTCTTCCGAGGTCCAAGTCATTTTGAGCAAAAACATTGGGCAGCTGATTAAGCTTTGCTGTTATATGCTCCTTCCATTCAGCGCTAATTGGAGAAGACTCAAAATTGAACGACAGCTTAACTTCAGTTTCAGCTTTGGATCTGGTGGTTCCCACGGATTGTGCTTGAGGAAGCACCTTTTGGTATGCACTAACCTCTCCTATAACACACTTTTGAGGGATTGTCACATCATGGTCAGACTCGTTTGTAGGAACGACAGGGACAAGGTAAGGTGCCCTCTCAGGTAAGTCTATTAAACCAGGTTTAACAAGTGTACCACTAGGTAAGGCCGACACTGATGGGTACTCCAATAGGACAGACTTTGAATCAATCCAATAAAGACAAAAACCCTGACCAAGAAAAGTCAGCTTGTGTTACGCGGGGTTTCCCAAGGGTAATTCACGGCGGAATCGCGGTCTTCGGACCTCAGAATCTCGAATTTGGAGTAATTTTTTCGAGTAAAGAGCTGCTAGTGCATCCTAGTTTGCTCTTCACCGGTAAGTGCTTCCTCGTCAGCGTCTCAGTGCATCTGAAGGCAAGTGGAAGCTACACAGCCATCAGCAGTAAGCGCTCAATTCTATTGGCTGATGCGATAGTTGACCAGCCACGTGATTGGTTAGACAGTTGGGGCAGCAGTAGCTCAGGTGGTAGAGCGGGTTGCCTCATGATTGGAGGGTAATGGGTTCGATTCCAGATCCCGCCAGGGGTATCCTGCTGTTGTGTCCTTGGGCAAGACACTTCACCCAACTTGCCTGTGTTAGTGGTGGTCAGAGGGGCCGACGGCGCCAAATGGCAGCCTCGCCTCTGTCAGACCTCCCCAGGGCGGCTGTGGCTACATGTAGCTTACCATCACTAGCAGTGTGTGAATGTGAGAGTGTGTGAAAGCGTCTTTGAGTGTCCTAAACAAGCGCTATATAAGTTCAATGCATTATTATTATTATTATTATTACAGTTGCTACTTGAATTTTATCAGAACTTTCTATTTATTCGGTTTTAGCTTTTCATATTTGACTATTTCCAGTTAGTCTTTTTAGCTATGCATGAATGTTTAGATTTCTATTTTTATAAAATATTATTTATTTTATTTGGTCTTTTATCCTGTTTTAATGGTTTCCGTTTATATTTCAATATTTATTCTAATTGTGTAATGAGGTTACTATTATAATCTGGGGTTTGCACCGGCTTACTCGTGTGTGTGTGCGTGTGTGTGTGTGTTTCCTCAAACGGAGACGGGGCAGAGCTCCACTCCTGACAGCACCAGGCTGTGTTGAGAGCTGACCACCTCCCTCATGGACATCTGAAGTTAAACGACGGCGTTTATGGTCACTTTAATCAGCGACACCTGCTTCCAACATGGTTTGTGACCAAAAGTTAAAACTGACCAGAACCAGGAAGTTGTGTGTGTACATCTGTTGTTGCTTTGCCTCCTCCGTGACCCCCCCCCCCCTCTCATCTACCTTGTGATCAGCATCTGCTGTCTATTAATGAACAGTTGGTTCAGTCATGCTTTACAAGCTCTGGTGTTAAACATAAGCCAGCTTCACCAAGCCTGCTGCAACGGTTGAACCAACGCGACTCTTTCTCATCCACTTCTATCAAAAACACAGACGAATGAATCTCAAAGGACTCCATTCAGGGAAATAACTGCAGGCAGGTCCCCAGAGACAAAGGCTGGCTGTTGGATGGATCCTATCGTTTAACAACCAACAACAAACCACCAAAGAACTGATAGCATGTAGAAATCAGACGCACCTGTTACAGCACAAATCTGAGGCTGCTGCTTCTGTCGTTGCTGAGGAGATGGAGGCTGTTGTTGTGATGAGTTCACAGGAACACAAGAGAGTATTATTTCCCAGAAAGTGACCCAAAAGAGAACAAAAGAGCACAAAGTACGGCCTCTGAGGGACGTTTTCAGTAAACTGCTCTTGTGTCGGGGCTTCTGGCTGGTTATAAGCACCAGGAAGAGGAGGAGGTGCGACTATAACAGCTGGGTCACCATGGAGCTGAGGTTAGCAGCACCAGAGGGAGGATCACCTGTCTCACCTGAATTTGCATGCACACCGTCTGTACGCAGTCCCAGCAGCTGCAGATGAGGAAAACATGCTCGGCTTCACCGCCGGAGCGAGTCAGGTAGACCCGAGTTGATGTTTAAACAGCATAACTGGAGTGTGAAGGAGAAGGAAATGCTGAGTGTGTTTCCCGTCGACGTCGTCTTCAGGAGGCTTTGTTGGTTTCAGAGGGATTGTTGTCACACATGTGGACAGGTGCTCCAGGTGTGCTTCACCTAACCAAAGGCATCAGGTTCTGGTCCTGGTCACATTGTCCATGTTGAACTTTGAAACACTCCCTGATGCCACCGGGGTTGTTGTTGGGTACGAGAACACACCTGTTTGGGTTTTAATCCCGTCGGTCTCACCTTTGGTCTTAAGGTGGACAGATGCAGTTTCAGGACTAGTACCTTCATCACACACTTCAGGTAGACGGGAACTGTAGACGTGAGTAAAGGAAAAGAGCCTAACCCTAAAAAGGTCCGACAGACTCCAGATTTAGTTTGATTTCATATCTGTTCGGTTTGAAATGTTGTTTCATGTGAAGCGTCTCGATTCTGAGGGTTGTGATTGGCTCACTCATACGTCGTCTGGTGGTTTGATGGTTGGTTAATCATCGATCATCTCGTAGACCCAAAGTGTGATTTTAAAGCATTAAATGACTGCATTTATATTATTGTTAAGGACAAACTTCCAAAGGGGCGTGGCTTTAGGTTTGCTAGCATTTTCCATTTACCGTATGTGTGTGTGTGTGTGTGTGTGTGTGTGTTACAATGAAGCCAGCCAGCTGCCCTGGGGCACCCTGATGGAGGCAAGGCCACCAGTCCCTCCGACCACCACCAGTGGGCAAGGCGGGTTAAGTGTCTTGCCCAAGGACACAAGAGCAGAATTCTCAGGTTGGAGCCGGGATCAAACTGCAACCTTCCGATTAGCTGCTCGATCTCCTGAGCTGCTGCTGCTCCCGACAGACATGATGACGCATAAAGATACCGTCAGAGCTGATATCGTCACAGAAATCGGACATCTGCTGGGCTGAAGATCCTGGTAGTCCAGGACATCTGCCGGGCTGAAGATCCTGGTAGTCCAGGACATCTGCCGGGCTGAAGATCCTGGTAGTCCAGGACGACTACAGGTCTGAAGTTACAGATCCCGCACCGCTGACAGCACATGCATTTGCACAGATGTGTTTTTGTTTAGTGAGCCAGATTTCACACGCAGCAGCAGCCAGCTTCTCAGACTCCTGTGGACCGGGTGCTCCTGACAGGAATGGCTGCAGTAATCGTTCTGATGAGTCGAGTGCACCTGCAGCAGCGTGGAGGCTGAGGAACCACATGAAGACTCACACCTTTGAGAACGGTGTTGGTTTAGGACCGCAGCAGCCCGCCCAGGCCATCCAGACGGTGACGTGATTCCTGCTCCACACAAATGGGACCCGCCCCTTTTAACAGCTGATGCTTTCTGTGCATTTCCATCCCAGTTCTGTACAGGAAAGGTCACCTGTACTGTGATGTCATCAGCCTCATTAACACCTGGTTACAGAGACTCCAGCACGCCGTTACTCTGACAGCTTTTATGTTTTTATCCTTTCGTGAGCGGACTCACGTCTGTCCTTCCGTATCGGAGCGTGTGGATTTCTGAAATCAGGAACCTTTTCCTTGGAGCGGTCTAGATCTTTCCACGGCACCAGAAGATGAAACGAGCTGTTTGCTTTGATGACGTGTGGACCTGAACAACCCTTGGTGTAGTGAAAGGCTTTGATGTGCTGTCCCAACGGCGTTAAGCACACATGACGTCTTCAGGACTCAAGATTACTGCGGTCGTTTGGTTTCTGCCGCCGTCTTTCATGCCTGGATGTGGTTTGCTAGAGAAGACACTGGATTTAGGCGTGACGCGTTCCAACTCACTGATCTGGACGTTCCATCCGTGCCATTTCCATTCAGAGCCAAAAACCACTTTTCACAAAATGCATTCATGCTTACAAACACCCTTTAGACCTGTGGGCCCAATCCCTGTACAGGATCCTGTTGACATTTATTAAACCCACATTACAAGTCCCACCCACACGACCCGTCCCACACGGGGACACGCAGCACTGTCACACGTCCAGCCGTCCCTCCCCGAAGCTGTCCAGTAAAGTTAGGAACGCCCACTCATTACCCGTTAAGACACCTTCATCCTGTGTGTATCTGGTGGCAGTGAAACCACATCCAAGTCATCAAAATACACAAGTCCAACCTGAATGATGAGGAAGCTTCCGGTTCATTCAAGGAGATCGTTTTGGTTTCAGAAGTGGGAATTACACTAGTGGCATGAGGCGGGGTGTCAGCGATCCTCGTCTTACTGTTATAGAAATGCATGGTCCACAAGTCACCCCCCCCCACACACACACACATGCGCGCGCACACACACACGTTCTACCACCAGTCAATCAAAGGACCCCCCCCCACACACACACAATCATTCTACCAGTCAGCCACAGGAATGACGGCTAGATGGTGGAGTGCACTTGGAGGATGTCGGTGTGTTTTATTAGAGCAACAGAGCGTCTGCTTTGGACTTTTGTCAGGAATAATGAAACTGCGGAGAGGAAAATCCACTGGGATTTGTGAACCAATCGTATTCCACCAGCTAACCGTGTTCTGACCTTTAAACGTGTCACGTCCCTAAAAGCAACCTCGTCTTCCGTCTTTTAAACAAAAACAAAGAATTGGAACAAGTTTCTCATTTTGGCCTCGTATGACTTAAGGTGTGACATCATCCCTCATTTCCTTAATATTCTTATCTTCGATTAGCTAGCTTTGCTAGCCGAGAGGTCCGTGTGACGCAGATCTGTTGGCTGAAGCAGCAGACAGGTTCAGCCTGCTTGTTAAACTCAGAGTGGCCATGCTGCTGACGGATACCACCGTAGCAGATCCAGTCTGTCCACAACCAAGATCTTCCACTTTTCTGACCCAACCCACATCCTGCACGGCAGGAAGCTCCGCCCACACACGACCCACGTGCGTTCTGTGAGGGCCGTCCTGGACTAGCTCAGCTGATGTCTCAGCCCTTCAGGTGGCCAGCTGCTCCGGGTGGCTCTTCAGCTTGTGGAACTTAACGCTGTCCAGCTTCTCGAACCTCTTGCTGCAGAACTCACAGGTGTAGTTGTAGTGGGCCTCCGTCGTGTGCTTCTTCATGTGCCAGTTTAGGGATGCCCGCTGGCGGCACTGGTAGCCGCAGATTTCACACCTGAGTGATGAGGAGGTAAACACAGAAATGATCATGAAGGTTAGCTTCAGCTAGCTGGGCGTCAGCTGCTGCAGGAGTCTCAATTCTAACAAAACGTGTGGTTTTTATTCCAGCCTAGCGTGGCCATGGCCATGTCCTTCATCGTAGGGGTCAAAGGTCAACTATCTGCCAGGACACAGGTTGTGTGGACGCGACACCAACAGGTGGAAACAATTAACTCGTCCAGCATCCTCATCACAAGACGCCTCTCCGAGACTTTCATCTACCTGTTCTAATAAGATGTTAGATTGGTCTCACGAGTGTTTACGTTAACGACCAGGAACAACAACGTTTTATCTAAACGTTTAACTGCTTCAAATCAAATCAACTTTATTTATAGAGCGCTCTCACATGGCCAGAATGGACAAACAAAGCGCTGTACACCAATAAAATGCAACACAATAGGACAGAGATATGACCATTAAAATACACTAAGAAATCCCTGCAAAGTACCGTAACAAATCCTATGAAAATACAATAAGAAATCCATTTTAAAATACAGTACAAAAACCTGAGTGCCAGCTCACAGTCCATATCCGGCCTACTTCCCCCAACTTCAACGTCCAAAAGCCAGCGAGAACAGATGTTTTCAGTCTTCCTTTAAAGGTTTCTAATGACTTGGCCTGTTTTACATCAGCTGGCAGCTCATTCCAGAGACTTGGTCCAAGTACTGAAAAAGCTTGACTACCACTAGACTTCAGGCTGTACCTAGGCACAGTAAGTAATCTCTGGTCAGCTGACCTAAGGGAACGCACCGGGACATGCTGGTGGATGATTTCAGACAGATATTTAGGTGCCCCTGAGTTTAACGCCTTAAACACAAACAGGATGACCTTAAACCTGATGCGATAAAAGACAGGGAGCCAATGCAAGGCACGTAGGACTGGTGTTATATGTTCAGACCTCCTGGTAGATGTTAGCAACCGAGCAGCCGAGTTCTGAACCGCCTGGAGGCGTGCTATTGGAGCTTGCCTAAGCCCCGCAGATAGCGAGTTGCAATAATCCAGCCTGCAGGTAACAAAGGCATGGATTACAGTTTCCAAATGATTATGGGACAGAAAAGGCTTAATTTTTGCTATGCGGCGTAGATGAAAAAAGCAAGATCTCACGATTCCGTTCACTTGAGCATCAAATCTGAGCTCTGCGTCCAGTTTTACCCCTAAGTTAGTGACCACCGCCTTTTGATGCGGTGCCAGAGTGGAAAAATCAAGCCCTTGGGCACCTCCTAGGGTCTTTGGTGGCGTAAACAGAATAACTTCAGTCTTGTGTTCGTTGAAACACAAGAAGTTCTGAGCCAACCATAGCTTGATGTCCTCCAGGCAGTCCAACAGAGGTTGAATGGTGCATAAACCACCACGCCTAATTGGAAAAATGACCTGGCAATCATCAGCATAGAGATGGAATGACACATTGTGTTTACGGAATAGTTCACCCAGGGGTAGGAGATATAGGGAGAATAATAGTGGGGCCAAAATCGATCCCTGGGGAACTCCCAAAGGCAGCTCAGCCAGATCAGAGGAACAGTCCCCCAACCTCACACAAAAATTCCTCCCAGTCAAGTAAGATCGTATCCACTTAAGTGCCTGGCCCGTAATGCCCACAGACCGCTCCAGCCGGTTTATTAGGATGTTCTGATCAACGGTATCAAAGGCTGATGACAGGTCCAAGAGCACCAGAACCACAGCATCACCGGAATCATTAAACTATGAAATGTCATCAAGGACCTTAGGCAGTGCCGATTCAGTGCTATGAAAGGGTTTGAACCCAGATTGAAATACTTCTCCAATTTCCCATTCCTGAAGAAAAGACATCAGTTGGATAAACACAGCCCTCTCTATGATCTTTGAGATGAAAGGCAGTGTAGATACAGGTCTGTAATTGGACAAGATTGTTGGGTCCAATCCTGATTTCTTAAGCAGAGGTCGTACCACCGCCTGCTTTAGGGGAGTAGGGACGTCCCCAGATAGCAAGCTGCAGTACGTGATCACCCACTACAGAAAAAACTTCTGTCAGTAGCCTTGCCGGGAGAACATCAGTTACCGCCCCTGTTGGCTTAAGTCTCATGACCAGATCCTCAAGCTCTGCAAGAGTTAATGGTTGGAAACCCTCCAGTGCCTTTGGAACACAGAGATCGGCAGAGGGGGCATGCTTAAGTGGTGGAATAGAGGCCCTTGTCACCCTTACCTTGTCCACAAAGAAGTCCAAAAACGTGTTACATGACTCAGTGGAGTACTCAATCGCAAGGGGCTCATTGACATTTAAAATAGAGTCCACGGTCATGAAAAGTATCCCAGCATTCTGAGAGTTTAAGGAGATTATGTTGGCAAAGTAACCATTAATATTAGTTTATCATGATGAACGCGGACACGAGTATTGGTTTATCGTGATGAAGGCGGACACGAGTATTAGTTTATCGTGATGAATGCGGACACGAGTATTGGTTTATCGTGATGAATGCGGACACGAGTATTGGTTTATCGTGATGAATGCGGACACGAGAATTAGTTTATCGTGATGAATGCGGACACGAGAATTAGTTTATCGTGATGAATGCGGACACGAGTGTTGGTTTATCGTGATGAATGCGGACACGAGTGTTGGTTTATCATGATGAATGCGGACACGAGTATTGGTTTATCATGATGAATGCTGACACGAGTATTGGTTTATCATGATGAATGCGGACACGAGAATTAGTTTATCATGATGAATGCTGACACGAGTATTGGTTTATCATGATGAATGCGGACACGAGTATTGGTTTATCGTGATGAATGCGGACACGAGTATTGGTTTATCGTGATGAATGCGGACACGAGTATTGGTTTATCGTGATGAATGCGGACACGAGTATTGGTTTATCGTGATGAATGCGGACACGAGTATTGGTTTATCGTGATGAATGCGGACACGAGTATTGGTTTATCGTGATGAATGCGGACACGAGTATTGGTTTATCGTGATGAATGCGGACACGAGTGTTGGTTTATCGTGATGAATGCGGACACGAGTATTGGTTTATCGTGATGAATGCGGACACGAGTATTGGTTTATCGTGATGAATGCGGACACGAGTGTTGGTTTATCGTGATGAATTCGGACACGAGTGTTGGTTTATCGTGATGAATGCGGACACGAGTGTTGGTTTATCGTGATGAATGCGGACACGAGTGTTGGTTTATCGTGATGAATGCGGACACGAGTATTGGTTTATCGTGATGAATGCGGACACGAGTATTGGTTTATCGTGATGAATGCGGACACGAGAATTAGTTTATCGTGATGAATGCTGACACGAGTATTGGTTTATCGTGATGAATGCGGACACGAGTATTGGTTTATCGTGATGAATGCGGACACGAGTATTGGTTTATCGTGATGAATGCGGACACGAGTATTGGTTTATCGTGATGAATGCGGACACGAGTGTTGGTTTATCGTGATGAATGCGGACACGAGTGTTGGTTTATCATGATGAATGCGGACACGAGTATTGGTTTATCGTGATGAATGCGGACACGAGTATTGGTTTATCGTGATGAATGCTGACACGAGTATTGGTTTATCGTGATGAATGCGGACACGAGTATTGGTTTATCGTGATGAATGCGGACACGAGTGTTGGTTTATCGTGATGAATGCGGACACGAGTATTGGTTTATCGTGATGAATGCGGACACGAGTATTGGTTTATCATGATGAATGCTGACACGAGTATTGGTTCATCATGATGAATGCGGACATGAGTATTGGTTTATCATGATGAATGCTGACACGAGTATTGGTTTATCATGATGAATGCGGACACGAGAATTAGTTTATCATGATGAATGCTGACACGAGTATTGGTTTATCATGATGAATGCGGACACGAGTATTGGTTTATCGTGATGAATGCGGACACGAGTATTGGTTTATCGTGATGAATGCGGACACGAGTATTGGTTTATCGTGATGAATGCTGACACGAGTATTGGTTTATCGTGATGAATGCTGACACGAGTATTGGTTTATCGTGATGAATGCTGACACGAGTATTGGTTTATCGTGATGAATGCGGACACGAGTATTGGTTTATCGTGATGAATGCGGACACGAGTATTGGTTTATCGTGATGAATGCGGACACGAGTATTGGTTTATCGTGATGAATGCGGACACGAGTATTGGTTTATCGTGATGAATGTGGACACGAGTATTGGTTTATCGTGATGAATGCGGACACGAATATTGGTTTATCGTGATGAAGGCGGACACGAGTATTCGTTTATCGTGATGAATGCGGACACGAGTATTGGTTTATCGTGATGAATGCGGACACGAGTATTGGTTTATCGTGATGAATGAGGACACGAGTATTGGTTTATCGTGATGAAGGCGGACACGAGTATTGGTTTATCGTGATGAAGGCGGACACGAGTATTGGTTTATCGTGATGAAGGCGGACACGAGTATTAGTTTATCGTGATGAATGCGGACACGAGTATTGGTTTATCGTGATGAATGCGGACACGAGTATTGGTTTATCGTGATGAATGCGGACACGAATATTGGTTTATCGTGATGAAGGCGGACACGAGTATTAGTTTATCGTGATGAATGCGGACACGAGTATTGGTTTATCGTGATGAATGCGGACACGAGTATTGGTTTATCGTGATGAATGCGGACACGAGTATTGGTTTATCGTTTTGAATGCGGACACGAGTATTAGTTTATTGTGATGAATGCGGACACGAGTATTGGTTTATCGTGATGAATGCGGACACGAATATTGGTTTATCGTGATGAAGGTGGACACGAGTATTATTAGTTTATCGTGATGAATGCGGACACGAGTATTGGTTTATCGTGATGAATGCGGACACGAGTATTGGTTTATCGTGATGAATGCGGACACGAGTATTAGTTTATCGTGATGAATGCGGACACGAGTATTGGTTTATCGTGATGAATGCGGACACGAGTATTAGTTTATCGTGATGAATGCGGACACGAGTATTAGTTTATCGTGATGAATGCGGACACGAGTATTAGTTTATCATGATGAATGCGGACACGAGTATTAGTTTATCGTGATGAATGCGGACACGAGTATTGGTTTATTATGATAATGCGGACACGAGTATTGGTTTATCGTGATGAATGCGGACACGAGTATTAGTTTATCGTGATGAATGCGGACACGAGTATTAGTTTATCGTGATGAATGCGGACACGAGTATTAGTTTATTATGATGAATGCGGACACGAGTATTGATTTATTGTGATGAATGCGGACACGAGTATTGGTTTATCGTGATGAATGCGGACACGAGTATTGGTTTATCGTGATGAATGCGGACACGAGTATTGGTTTATCGTGATGAATGCGGACACGAGTATTGGTTTATCGTGATGAATGCGGACACGAGTATTGGTTTATCGTGATGAATGCGGACACGAGTATTGGTTTATCGTGATGAATGCGGACACGAGTATTGGTTTATCGTGATGAATGCGGACACGAGTATTAGTTTATCGTGATTAATGCGGACACGAGTATTGGTTTATCGTGATGAATGCGGACACGAGTATTGGTTTATCGTGATGAATGCGGACACGAGTATTAGTTTATCGTGATGAATGCGGACACGAGAATTAGTTTATCGTGATGAATGCGGACACGAGTATTAGTTTATCGTGATGAATGCGGACACGAGTATTAGTTTATCATGATGAATGCGGACACGAGTATTAGTTTATCGTGATGAATGCGGACACGAGTATTGGTTTATTATGATGAATGCGGACACGAGTATTGGTTTATCGTGATGAATGTGGACACGAGTATTAGTTTATCGTGATGAATGCGGACACGAGTATTAGTTTATCGTGATGAATGCGGACACGAGTATTAGTTTATTATGATGAATGCGGACACGAGTATTGATTTATTGTGATGAATGCGGACACGAGTATTGGTTTATCGTGATGAATGCGGACACGAGTATTGGTTTATTATGATGAATGCAGACACAAATATTGGTTTATCGTGATGAATGCGGACACGAGTATTAGTTTATCGTGATGAATGCGGACACGAGTATTGGTTTATTATGATGAAGGCGGACACGAGTATTGGTTTATTATGATGAATGCAGACACAAATATTGGTTTATCGTGATGAATGCGGACACGAGTATTAGTTTATCGTGATGAATGCGGACACGAGTATTGATTTATTGTGATGAATGCGGACACGAGTATTGGTTTATTATGATGAATGCAGACACAAATATTGGTTTATCGTGATGAATGCGGACACGAGTATTAGTTTATCGTGATGAATGCGGACACGAGTATTGGTTTATTATGATGAATGCGGACACGAGTATTGGTTTATTATGATGAATGCAGACACGAGTATTGGTTTATCGTGATGAATGCTGACACGAGTATTGGTTTATCGTGATGAATGCGGACACGAGTATTAGTTTATCGTGATGAATGCGGACACGAGTATTGGTTTATTGTGATGAATGCGGACACGAGTATTGGTTTATTATGATGAATGCAGACACGAATATTGGTTTATCGTGATGAATGCAGACACGAGTATTGGTTTATTATGATGAATGCAGACACGAGTATTAGTTTATCGTGATGAATGCGGACACGAGTATTGGTTTATTGTGATGAATGCGGACACGAGTATTGGTTTATTATGATGAATGCAGACACGAGTATTAGTTTATCGTGATGAATGCGGACACGAGTATTGGTTTATTGTAATGAATGCGGACACGAGTATTGGTTTATTATGATGAATGCAGACACGAGTATTAGTTTATCGTGATGAATGCGGACACGAGTATTGGTTTATCGTGATGAATGCGGACACGAGTATTGGTTTATTGTGATGAATGCGGACACGAGTATTGGTTTATTATGATGAATGCGGACACGAGTATTGGTTTATTATGATGAATGCGGACACGAGTATTGGTTTATTATGATGAATGCAGACACGAGTATTAGTTTATCGTGATGAATGCGGACACGAGTATTGGTTTATCGTGATGAATGCGGACACGAGTATTGGTTTATTGTGATGAATGCGGACACGAGTATTGGTTTATTATGATGAATGCGGACACGAGTATTGGTTTATTATGATGAATGCAGACACGAATATTGGTTTATTATGAATGTTTAACATTTTTACTTCACAATAAGTGAAATAAGCTCTTTATGCATCAGAGGAAGGAGAGGTGTCTGAGGGTTCTGATGACGCCACTATCACCCTCTCTAGATGCTGCTTTGACAAAAGGAGTAAAGAAGCAGGGATCACCTGTCCGGGTCGGCCAAACCGAGTCAGTAAGCGTTGGACCGTCCCTTCAAGACCATCAGATGCAAACTTCACCTGACCACCAGCAGACACCCTGAAGGCATCTCGCTCCAACCTGACCAGCCGTAGTGTTCCAGGTGGACCTACGAGCTCCATCGGCAGCCTGTGTGTGCTGACTGCTACGGCCCGCGGATCACCGGGAGCCTTCGCCACGTTTCATTTATCCCCAACTTTTCTGAGACACTTGATCGGGTTTAGCTGCAGAACATGTAAGCTCACACCCCACCATCTCACCCGCTGTCTCAGTTCTCGTGTGTCAGCCATCGTTCATCATAACTCGTTCCGTCTCGTCGTAAGCAGCAGAAATATAGAAGCAGGGATTTTTAGGAACTATATTCATGCAGGTCTGTAATGATTAAAGTGTTGTTTCCCTGGACGAGCAAAAAGACCCGCTTTCATCATCAATCACACATCAAATATAGAGCATCCATATTTTTATGAAATATGACATTTGATAGAATTAATTTATTAATGTCACATCACTGTCTCTGTTGATAACACGGTAAAGGACAGCTGTAATAGCTGTTAAACATCTGTTAAACATCTGTCACCGCTGTGACGGACTCACTGTAGCGGCGTCTCTCCGGTGTGCGTTCTTCGGTGGACCTCCAGGTGATTCTTGCGTTTGAACGACTTCCCGCACGTCTCACAGATGAAATCTCGGACCTCTGTAGGAAGACACGCGTTAGCATCGGAGCATCAGTGAAGCGCGACTGCTGATGTGTGGCGTTGGGAGTCCACCTGAATGGATGATCATGTGACGGTGCAGATGGTTGGACAGGTAGAATTTCTTCCCACAGCCAGGATGAGGGCACACCTTGGTCCGCCCTTTCCTGTGAACTAGATTGACATGATTCTGCAGACAACAGAAATGTTGTCATCTCAGAAAACAGCAGACCAATCACAGCGCAGGACTGACAGGTGTAACGTTACCTGGAAGCTGCTGATTGCCACGTACACCTGACTGCAGCCTTCATACGGACAGTGGAACATCTTAAGCATGCCGTCTGCCTCAATGACCGGGCCCCGCCTGCTTCTCCTGGACCTGACGCTGCAAAAACACAAACGGCTCGTCTCCTGGACCTCCACCAACCACAGGATTCTAGAATCGTTCCAACAGAAGCTGAGACAACTTTTGTTGGCCGGCACAAACGGTTTCCATGGCGATTAGATGGGTTGCCAGGTCCTGACTCGGACAGAAGTGGTGAATAATGAAGCTGGAAGAGGTTTGACACGTACCTGATCAGACTCGCCTGCAGCCCCGGGTCACTGCTCAGCTCCACAGGGGGCGGGGCCAGCTGGGAGGCGCTCACACCTGCAGCAGGTAAGTTTCAGACTGAAGGTGAACACGACACGTACTCCTCTTCATCAGACGGTTGGAGAAACTGTTGCATATTCCTTCCAACTGATCAAATCTAAAGCCTTCAGCGCAGAAACATCCTGGACTGGAGTTACTGGAACGTTTCCTGCTCCGCTGCAGCGGCTCAGCAGAGCGCATCAGACCGTTGCCACGGAGATCTTAAAGGTGTGTTTAGGGAGAGCTGGGATTTCCCAGTTCCTTATATCCAGATTACAGATTACATTTACAGATGACTTACTTGTTTGTTTGGTAAACGGAAGAAAAAACACGTAGGGTGGTAAATGATTACGACAGCAAAACCAGGATAACGAGAGTTCGGTCTCATCTGCGTGCATAACCCTAGAGAATTCATCCATTCATCATCTGAACCTCTTCATCCTCAGCAGGGCCTCAGAGAGCTGGTGTTTAGGTGTTCAGTTACTAAATCTGGACCGGAACCAGACCGGCGCTGTGCCTGTGGCTCCACAAAGGGTCCCACATCCCAGCGGAGCTCCAGGAGGACCTCCTCCAGGAATCTGCTCAAGAGCCTCTCTGGATTCTCACCTGCGCTCACCGAGGACCGTCCCCCCTGAGAGCACGCTCTGCAGGTCTTCCAACAGCAGCCATGCTACCCTGTCAGGGTCCCGGGAAGATAACGTAATAATGTCCTGTTTGTTTACATGTTGTTGTTCTGTAACGATGTTTGTTTACATGTTGTTGTTCTGTAACGATGTTTGTTTACATGTTGTTGTTCTGTAACGATGTTTGTTTACATGTTGTTGTTCTGTAACGATGTTTGTTTACATGTTGTTGTTCTGTAACGATGTTTGTTTACATGTTGTTGTTCTGTAACGATGTTTGTTTACATGTTGTTGTTCTGTAACGATGTTTGTTTACATGTTGTTGTTCTGTAACGATGTTTGTTTACATGTTGTTGTTCTGTAACGATGTTTGTTTACATGTTGTTGTTCTGTAACGATGTTTGTTTACATGTTGTTGTTCTGTAACGATGTTTGTTTACATGTTGTTGTTCTGTAACGATGTTTGTTTACATGTTGTTGTTCTGTAACGATGTTTGTTTACATGTTGTTGTTCAGTAACGATGTTTGTTTACATGTTGTTGTTCTGTAACGATGTTTGTTTACATGTTGTTGTTCTGTAACGATGTTTGTTTACATGTTGTTGTTCTGTAACGATGTTTGTTTACATGTTGTTGTTCTGTAACGATGTTTGTTTACATGTTGTTGTTCTGTAACGATGTTTGTTTACATGTTGTTGTTCTGTAACGATGTTTGTTTACATGTTGTTGTTCTGTAACGATGTTTGTTTACATGTTGTTGTTCTGTAACGATGTTTCTTTACATGTTGTTGTTCTGTAACGATGTTTGTTTACATGTTGTTGTTCTGTAACGATGTTTCTTTACATGTTGTTGTTCTGTAACAATGTTTGTTTACATGTTGTTGTTCTGTAACGATGTTTGTTTACATTTACCTCCTGTTGTCTGTTTGATGTCATCACTTTATAAATGAGATCAGATGATACTCAGTACTTATCCCTACTTGAGTAACTTCTTGGACAGCTACTCTTACTTGAGTACAGGTGTTGGCTACTCTACCCCCCCCCCCCCCCCCCCCCCCATGGATCAGCGGCGCCCCCAGCTGGACACAGTAAAAACCTGCAGCTCCTGTTTATTACTCCATGGTGTGCTGTTGGTCGTTTGGATTTACGAGAACTAATTCCAGCGCCGGTTAGATTTAACTAACTAACTAACCAACCAACCCAGCCGGCCCCATGCTTCCTTACAGGACCGTCTCTGTAGGGCTGCAACAAACTATCATCCGGATCATCGACCAATCGGATGAGGTCTCGACTCGATTAACCGGATTAAATCAGATCAAGTCAAACTTTATTTATAAAGCACTTTCATACAAAAACGTAACTCAGACCCCGCATACCCCACTGGTGTCCTTCACTAAAGGACTTACACTGCTCCGGGATCGTTCCTCTCTAACCCTAACCCTTTACTTTAACAACAGAGCACGACAACACGCATCACGTGATACGTCACAGTTAAACTAGGACCAGTAAAGTGACCAACAAGCTCAGCAGTAGCTGCTGGACATGCTAACAGCATCTTTCAGTGCTGATGAATGTCCTGAGAGCTGCCGGCTGGTAAGGGTCGCCGTGGCAACGGTAATCCACCAGGATGATACGTTTATTTAACAGAATTCGGTTCTTGTTATTGTGGACGTTTTTACCGGGGCGTACCGCGACAACGGTTACCGTGACAACCCTGCTACTGGATGGTGAACACCACACCGCGTGTGCAGCCGTTCCTACGCACAGGTCTGTCGGTGCACGGCGGTCTGGCTGCGAACGGAGCCTACCGGTCACGGAGTCGTCCTCCTCTGTGGGCTGGACCTGGTCGTAGGCGACACCGCCGATGACGGTGCAGGTGACCTCCTCCATGTTTCCGCTGCCCATGTTGAGCTGGATTCCTTCTGAGGCCAAGGCCTCGTAGCTGGGACCAGTGATGATGATCAGCTAGAGAAGAGGAGACAACAGTCCTGCTCATGACGAGTCAGAAGGCTTGTTCTACGTCAGGAACGTCTCTTCTCACCTGTGAGCCCTCCAGAGCCGTCCTCTGGTCCGCCATCTCACAGCCGCTCACCACCGTCTGCAGAGTCTGAGGGTCCAGCAGGTCCGGCTGCTCCCGCACGGCCGGCTGGACACAAACACGCCGTGAGAGCACCGAGTCCTCCGTCCTCTCCACTTCGCCAGTCAAAGATGTTGCCATGGTAACACAGTCGTAACCACACCCAGCCACGGTGATTCCTTCTTCTGCGAGCCGCTCTGCCTCTCCCTCCACCTGCTTCAGGCCTTCTGAAGGAAGCGGGTGCAGCGCCGCAGTGGGGGAGCTCTGCTGCTGCACCTCCACCTCCCATGTGGGTTGTCCCATCAGTGCAGCAGTGTCTGTGGACGCCTCTGGACTGGACATGACACGTAGACTTGTAGCTTCTGCAGTCTGGACAGCTGGACACTCAGAAATGTCTTCAGGAGGGCAGACAGATAACAACAATCACCTCAGGAAGAGAAAAGGTTCCCATCTCCTCGGTAGGGATACTGTACCTGCATCTCCTCCGGTCCTCAGCGTGTCTTCAGTCAGAGACACGTCTGGTCTGACCCTGGCCTCCTCATCGCTGTCCTCATCTCGCCTCTCCTCGAGCTCGGACTCGCTCCCCCCCCTCAGGGGAGGGAAGAGGTGGTGCACAAACGAGTGGTTGGAGTCACACTGCCACCTGGCAGCGGTGGAGAAGTCTGGCTGGGGCTCCAGGGTTCTGAGCTGGGGCTCGTGGGGGCAGGAGCCCGAGTGCTCCTGGTACCAGCGCACCAGGTCCCGGAGGCTCGACACGCACTGCTTCCTGTCTGCCGACCAACAGGAAATACACCTTAAATCAAGGAGGTGCGCTCCCAGAGCCAGAGCTTCCCGTTGGCACACCTGTTCCCTCACACAGCCAATCACAGCACACCTGTATCGGGATTCTGGACAGGTGAAGTCCTTCAAACCTGATGAAGGTGTTGGTACCAGACCTGAGTGCTCCAGAGCCACACCCACCTCAGGTTGTTGATGGCAGACACCAGAGCTACTGAGCCCTGATGCAGCCGCTCTAAACCAGCATAAAGACTGACTCTATTGTTTTATTGTCATCAGAATAAAAGCCAAAGTTCACCTTTTCTCCGTTTTCCTGGAACCCCCTCACGTGGCTTCTCCCTGCAGGTAACACACCTGTTTACTTTAAACTTCTCAGATGTGAGCCCTCACGTAAACACAACCGGTACCTGCAGTGTGTCCGCCGGTACCGGTCTCCGTAGGTGCTGTTGAGCAGGATCAGGTACTCGGCCAGCCCCGCGTCGCTCAGGCCGGTCCTCCTGCGGAGCTCGCTCCACAGCTGGTGCGCCTCTCCCAGGTAAACCCGCCGAACGTCGTACTTCTTCCGGGACTCGAGGCGCCTCCGGGCCCGGTCCGAGTCGGTGAGCCTCGGCCGCCCCCTGCAGCGTCTCAGCACACCTCGGGTCCCGGTTCCGGTCGTGTCCAAGGGATCGTCTGCGTTCAACGGGTGGTGCGCCATGTTGGGTCAACAGCTGATACGACCGGAAGTTGCGTCAAGACTCGCAGGCAAACGGAATTACGTCAGACTTTAAACAACCTGTCTCACGTTTATCCGCGGCGCGCGCATGAAGGTTCAGGCTCCACACTGTTGTAGAAATATAGAAATATAACAGTTTATTAATGTCGATGGTAGAAGCGCAGCAGGTGTTCTGCCGAAACCGGTACACCTGGCTTTTCAAGTGTTCTGATGCAAGGAGCGCGTTTAAGAACAGCAGAAAGAACATTAATAATAATAATAATAATAATAATAACGTTTCCGGGAGGATTGTTTTTACCAACACCGCCACAGACCGGGGCGGAACCGGACAACGGACTCGCTGTTTTCACCCGGACCGCTTTTACACGAACTCCGAAGTGCTACGCGGGAATCCGCGGGTGTCCTGTAGTAATGGCGGACGTACTGACGCTCGTTTTCAGGACCTTCTCGTCCAAAACGTCCCAGAAGAAGGTGGGTGCGGGTCTTCCCGCCCCGGGCCCCCGCAGCTGCTTGGTGGTGGGTCAGCACCGCATCAGCCGCCCGCTGCTGCTGCTCGCGGCCGTGACCGCCGCCTCAGAGACGGGCATCAGGGTCTCGTTCTTCACCCCGACACAGATCCAGAGCCTCCCGGTGTTCCTGCAGAAGTCCGGTCCCAGTCTGAGCCCAGAGAGCCTGAAGGTAGCGCTCCCGCCATGTTTCTGGCGTCATCGTCAGTGACGTTCATCTTCACACGAGTTAACGTCACAACCACACACACACACACACACACACACACACACACACACGAGAGAAGGTGCAGATGTACACAGAAGGGTTTATGGTGTGTGTTCCTGTACTTTCTACACACCCGAGGACCTTTCTGACCTTCTTCTCCACAAAGTCACAAGTGTCAGTGTCTATACAGCAATCCTCATACTAAGCAAGCATGCAGCGACAGTGGAGAGGAAAACTCCCTTTTAACAGGAAGAAACCTCCAGAGAATCCTGGCTCAGTATAAGCAGCCATCCTCCACGACTCACTGGGGATGGAGAAGACAGAGCACACACACACACACACACACACACACACACACACACACACACACACACACACACACACACACACACACACTCATGCACACGGATGGATGGATGAAAAAGGGCCTTCTCAGCTGCCCCTCTCTGTTTTGGGGTTAGGGTTATGCATCCATGAATGAATGAATGAATGAATGAATGAATGAATGAAGTGGATCCAAGTGCACGTATACATTTACATCTGCAGTTATGTTTGTGTGTTTTTGATAAAACTTTATTGAACATGTCATTATTAACTCTGCCTTGAACTTTTCTTTTATTTTGAAGAGAATCACGTTCTCCTACCCCCGGACCCTGGAGGAGCTGCTCCAGCAGGTTGCTGGTCTTCATGAGTCCCCCACCCCCCCTGCTCTGATCATCGTGGACAGACTGGAGGACTTCCTGTCGGGTTCTGCTGGCAGCGGCCATGTTGGGCTCCACTCTGCAGAGCGGTTGTCCGCCGCACATTTGTCCGCGCTGCTCTGTGACACCTCTGCTTTCCTTACTCACGTCCTGCAGCAGCAGGGGTCCTCCTCCTCCCCCTGCTGCCTCATCGCCTCCTTCCTGTCGAAGGAAGACTCTCAGCTGGACAGCAGGGACTCGTCCACCTCAGATCCCATCCTTGATGTTGTTGACCGTTATTTCCAGGTGCGCTGTACTCTGGATCAGGACAGAAGCTACGAGGCTGCAGCAGCGTCAGCGCAGGAGGCGTGGCACCTTTACCTCTCTGGGGGGCGGGACCCAGCCTGTGATGGCAGGCCATCTGGAGGCCAGGAGTGGAAGCTGTTGGTCTATGCTGACGGTTTAATGGAGTTCACATTAGTTGGACCTTGAGGCCTCTCTGGTCCTGGAGCAGGAAGCCTTCACACCAATGCAGACTCCTTTCTCAGAGTCTGGAATGTCTTTGTGTTCTCTTTGTTTGCCTTTGTCCCTGGAACTTTTGTAGGCAGCAGCTGGACCAGGTGAGGAAGCCCCGCCCCCTTTGTAACTCGGGTAGAAGATCCTTCAGAGTTTAAACACGTCACACCTGGTGGAACTTCGTGTTTTTAGGCCTCCTCTCAAATCGAACTCATAAGCCGTGCTGGGATGAGACACAGGTGTGTGGTTTCCACGGTAACCATAAAGAGCATCTTTTACCTGCTCACCTGTGTGAGGAACATAACCCGGCTCTGGGTTGGTTCTGCCCACGATAAACAGGTTAAGTGTAAACGGACTAATAAATGATTGTTTTGGGTCCTCGAGGTTCGCCATTCAGCATGTTTTAGTTGTTTCTCTGCTTCACCGCACCTTGAGCTGCTGAACAGGGTAATCAGGTCTGTTGGAGCAGGAAAACACCTAAAACACGTGGAACAGAGGCTTTAACCTCTGACCCATACGTCAAAACCAACGTTTCTGAATCAGTCCTGTATTTTTACCCGACCGCGTCAGTGGTTCGGGTCGTCTGTGAAGGAAAAATCTCATCAATATTTTTACCAATTTCACTTTATTTATTCGTGAAGTACCTGCTAGCGCCTTAGCGGAGGCCCAAGGTGCCGCACAGGACGTCAACACCAGAGCAGTAATAAACACACCGATGATACGAATATAAAAGCCGGCGCTGGGGAGAACCAGCCCACAACAGTGGGTTTAAGGTCCTGAAGAGAAGGATCGCTTTGTATGAAATAAACATAAATCAATTATTTAAACATCTGAAATAGTTTTAGTTCGGAGCAAACATCAGTTCTTTCACATCAGTGCTCTGATTTCAGAAATGAAAAACAAGGAAGTGTCTGAAGCCTGTTCCACACCAAATGTGCTGCGTTCTGCTTTCCATACAACTTCCACACAATCGAGTCTAACCAGATGGAACTCCGGAAGTTTCCACGCGGAGTCGGCCTTTCCCTGAAGAAATGACCCGGCATGTTTCAGCAAGCTGCATCCGGTACATTTCAAAATAAAAGCCATGTTACTTTTTCTGGCTTTAATTTGACTATTAATGACGTTATCAGTTGACGTTGTTTTTACAGGTAGATTTGTTGTTTGGTTAGGGTTAGTCTGTCGGCGTGAAGCAGGATAAAGCATGTCCATAAAATCTAAAAGGCTCAGTTAAAGAAACAAAACAGATTTATTGTACTTCAGCAAAGAGGTGAGACGTAAAAGTGAGAACAGTAGTAACAGTTTAAAATACCACAGGAAATAATGCAAACACGTGTTTGTGGGGTCTTCGTGAAGGTTTGAGTTGTCAGATATGTACACTTTTATTTCCAACACCTGCATGGTACAACGCTAACGCGACATTAGAGAGGATCCCTTTGACCTTCACAATGATGTCAGGACGGCTTTTTAACGTCGGAGGGAAATTCAGACAAACGCCACCGCTACAGCTCCTCTGACTGTGGTCGCCACTCAGCGGGCTAACGCTAACCCTACAGTAATCAGAATCTAAGGCCGACTTGACTTAATGACAAAAACGTAAAGGAGGCATGAAGAGTTTCAGAGTGAAAGCAGAAGATGCTTCGTATTAGAAAGTACTAAGGAGACAGGAAATCATGACGCCATCAGAAGACGAGAGAAGCTGCTGGTTTGTATTTAGATTAGCTCGTGGTCGTTTTAAGCTAGTCCTTGTCCTCCGATTAGGCGGGCAGTTGGCGCCGCTCTGGTTCAAACCTCTTAATTACAACGAGTTTGATGCCCAGCATCTTCCCAGCTTCAGCTATGAATACATGAATTTATCAGAACACCTTAGAAGTGAACACTTTCCGTTTGATTCATCTCGTTAATTACCAAATGTTAGCTTCCTGACAGCAGGAAGTGACTGGATGATGCTACTAGCGTGGTTGTTAGCATGTTGACTAGCTGCTGCCAGCATGGTCATGCTCCTACGTCCAAAAATGGACATCGGAGAACATTCAAAGCTTTGGACACGCGTGGTTTGTCAGTGACAACTAATCATCAGAGAAATGTTCCCAACAGTCTCGCGCTGGAACTGCTCTGCTGTGTATGATAGCACATCTGTCTGTGCGCTGAAGCAACGGTGGATCACAAACGCCGCTGTCTCACTACTCCAGTATAAAATACCATCTGAAACACGAGGAAGCGCGCAGAATGTCAGGATTTCTGCGCTGGTGTGCTGAACAGTGTAGTGGTGAGCAGGTGGACCACAGTGGACCCTCAGACACATCAAGCAGACTCGTCTCAGTCCTTTAGCTACACGCTGGTGTCCGTCGGCTCCTGGGATCCTCCCTTAGCAGTTGATGGTGCCTTGGGTGAGTATCCAGTAGTCACCAAGCCCCCGAAAGCCGCCTCCGGCTTTGTGCTGGTCCAATTGGGCTTCTCCTCAGCCATCGTCATGGACGTGGTACTGCCTTGTTAGGAAGGGTCTTCTGTGGGGTGGAATTTCATTTTTGTACTCGTTGGCATAGAGAGCCACTTTCCCCAAGTCATCAACTCTGCTCATGGGGCTGTAATCCATGGAGACCCCTGAGTCTGCCACTGCCATGTAGGTGTAGCCGGGGCCTTTGGGTGTCCAGCCTTGGCTTGGGTACTCAAAGCTGGACTGGGATGAGAGGCGACCGGACCCTGAGCTTTGCTGCCCGGACCCTAGGTCAGAGTGGAACTCGCTCAGCGGTGTCTTTCTAGAGGCAACATGCATCTCAAGGGGTAAGGCTTCCTCCAGAGTGTCATCTACGTGGTCTTCTTCGCTGTGATTGTTGGTGCTGAGGGTGACATAAGTGTCCTGAGATTCCAGCAGAGAAGACCCCATCCCGGGACGAGTCTCTCGTAAGCGTTCCATCAGCCAGTGCTGCTGCTGTGTGGCTCTCCACTCGTCTGTCTGAGCTGAATCACTCCCGTTAGACAACTCCCGCTCATCACGCTGAGTGGAAGCGTTACAGGCCTTAGGCGGGAGAGGTGGAGAGGCCAGAGAGCGGCACAGGTTAAGTTCAGAGAGGACTTCTACAGGAGAGGGGCGTTCTTCAGAGTACAGGAGAGCCGAAGTCACCCACAAGCCTCCACTGGTCTGTCTTAACCACTCCTAAAGACAAACCCATAATGGTGACACATTAGCGGTAGCTAGCCTAGAGCAGTCTCCGTGCTAGCGCACTCGTACTAAAGAAAGAAAACCATCTTTTATTCAGCGCTTCTCCAGACAAAAATCACGAGGAGCTTCACAAACAAAAACACGATTAAGTACAAAAAAGAGCAAAAATATGTTTAAAATGAGAGAAAAAAGTTACAGTTGTGTAAGGAAAGGTCTTACCTGGAGGTCTCCACCGTAAACAGTGAAAAGACCCTGGAATTTGCTGTCAGGAACTGGAATAGTGGGCCAGACCTTCTTTATGAAGAACCTAGGAACAAGAAACAAACCAACTGTTGTAAAAGAGCGATAAGCATGCCTTCACCGTTCCCGGAGCACTGACCTGTGATGGGACAAAAGCACGATGAGACAAAGCAGAAAGAGGATGAAAGTGATGATGAAAGTCAGGGACACAATGAGTGGGTCAAGATCTGCAGGAGACACCAGAGGACGGTTGGACAAGAGTGAGCGTGGTGGTCCTACATGCAGCATGCCACCCCTGCTGCAGGAGGGAGACGCGGTTTTTCATGGTAAGCTTCTACCTGCAGGCAAAGTTTCCATCCACACCGGATCGCTCCAGGCACTCCAGTAGCCGCTGTAGGTGATGCCGTCCAACCTTACACGGACTTCAACCCTGTACCTGGTAGCAGCCTGAAGACCTCGGAGAATCAGCTCAGAGCAAGCTCGGGCCACCTCCACCTGTGGAGAACAGATTCTTAATAATAACCCGTAACCCAAAAAGGTGCCAACAGCCCTTCGTTGTGTTGAGGCCACCACCTCACCTGCCCAGCAGGGTCGCCCTCCTTAGCGTACATAACCTCGTAGATCATGCTGTCATCCATGTACTTGAGAGGAGGCGGCACCCCAGCTAACGTTCAGCTGCCCCTGATGACCCGTGCTGCTGACGGTCACGTTTTCAGGAGGGTCCAAAAGAACTGGCAGACAAACACGGGCGTGCATGATTTTAAGGGAAATGACACAGCAGGATTATAATCTACACATAAGGAAGCTTAGCTGAGTGTTCTGTTGATGCTAACGTGTTGCAGGATCAGTTTTTACTCTCTGTTCACTTCGGGAGCAGCCTCTATGCTGGAGTCACAAGACTGATAAACGTGCGACCTAGCCAAGGTGAGGGAGCTTTATGAGGACACCTGCGATTACCAGCTGATCAGAGAAAACCAATCAGACCCGCCCTGACCAAAAGTCCTACTGCTGCACTTAGCTGCTTCGTATTCGGAGAGGAAACGCAGCTCAGAGACGTACAAACAAGCTCGACGAGAAGGCTTCGGTTGTGGATCATAACGCTTTCACGATGAACTTGGATGTCCAACTGGACGAACATCTGAATCCGGTCCAGGTGGCAGACGAACAGCTTTTTCCCGCCTGCAGCCGGGGCGACAGTCAGAGGGCACCTGCTGCCGTTTTCATTTCTGCAGAAACACAAATTTAATGTTGGAATCAAATCTAAACACGACCGGCAAACTCAGTCGTCTCCTCCCTTTCATCCCGAAGCATTCCCCAAGGAGAGCCAGGAAGCCACCAGAGGCATCACGTTTGCATTAATCTTGTTCTAAAACATTTGTAATGTCATAAAGTCAAATCCCATCTCGGTCTGGTGAGAAGAGAGCCTTACTGGTAGGCGTAGGTGAAGGAGTACTGCTCCACAGGACCAGCCCTCTCCTCATCTTCCTCCCAGAAGCAGGTGAAGGCCTTCCTGCCCTCAGCGAAGCACTTTGGGTTCTCCGGTTCCGCCGCCAGGAGCATGGAGGCTGAAGGAGGTGA